CAAGACTTCAGAGGTCAACCTTTCTTTATGTGAATGAAATCCTCTTCCAAGAATTTCGACATTGTCGAAATCAATCTTATGTCCACTGTCTATAGCATGCATTGCTGTAGCTGATCTTTTTTCTAAACTTTTAAATTTTATTTCATTTCTAGGTGGATGTTTCGTGCATAATCTTTATCCATTCACTCTGACCTTCAACTGTCTACTGCTCTCCCGTGTAGAGCAAGCTTCACATTCCGAACACTTTATCCTATATACACAATTACATTGTGACACTTTGGGAACTATATCTTTGACATTCACCAAAGCTTTCTCCAGAGAATTAGAGGCCTTGAAATGGACTTTAATCTCATATTAAGCAATCAGTCTTTGAAGTTGTTCAGCTGTGTCCTTTCGATATGGAATGGCTATCGTCGATATTTGTCGAAAAACGAACGTCACGCATTAAAAACATTAACATCGGACAAAACTATCGTTATAACTAAAGCTGACAAAGGCAATAAAACTGTGATTCTTAACAAAGATGATTATGACAAGAAAGCTTTGGAACATATCGAAGCAGGCCCAAACATACCATTACCAATAAACAAAATGTCTAATACTATGAACAAAACTAGGTAATTCAGTTTGGTTTTCAATAGCTCCCAAAACGAGCACGGCTGCGAGATTTTATGGAAGGGCGAAAATACACAAAATGAATGTTCCTTTAAGACCAATAATTGATTTCACCAATACAGCAACATACACTTTATCAAAACACATATCACGACTACTGAAAGCACTTCAATACAATATTCCTTCGAACATTAAAAATATTGAGGAGTTCAAAAGGAAAGTGATGGACATAATTACTGAAGAAGAGGAAATTATGACAAGTTTTTCACGTGGTTTCTCTGTTTACTACTATCCCTATATGTGACTCACTCCATATTACGAAATATGAACTTGGAAACAATCAGGAAATATTAGTTAGATCATCATTACCAATAGAAGACGTTTTAAGATTCTTAAGACTTTGTTTAGAATTTACCTATTTTACCTTTAGAGGCAAACTATACTGTCAGACAAATGGAGTTGCAATGGGTTCACCAGCATCTCCAATTTTAGCAAGCCTGCATATGAAAGCTCTAGAACGAAAAAACACTAACAAGTTTTAGTTGTCATCCTAGAATATGTTACAGATATGAAGATGACACATTTATCATCATAAAGAAAGCTGGAAAAGAAAACTTCCTAACAGAGATTAACTTAATCTCAGAATATATAGAGTTTACTGAGGAAGTAGAATCGGCTGAGGGAACTCTAAACTTTCTTGATTGTCTTGTAAAAAGATAAACTGACGAGAAACTAAAGTTTACAATATACAGTAAACTGACACATTCCAACAAGTATTTGAATTTCCAATCAGATCATCTAATAGTTCAAGCAGCTTGAAATTTCGTTAAAAGAGCTAGAAAAATTATAGCAGCTGATGATGATATAGAGAACGAGATATCCAATATAAAACGGGTTTTCATTGGAAATGGTTATCTGGAAAGGCTACTAGCTAAAATTATCAATAAAAAGAAGCATAAGGGAAAAGAGAAAACTGGAAACTCTTGGCTATCGACGACAGCCATTCCATATCGAAAGGACACAGCTGAACAACTTGACAGCAGACATAAGATTGATTTCGACAATGTCGAAATTCTTCGAAGAGGATTTCATTCACATAAAGAAAGGTTGACCTCTGAAGTCTTGCACATTTCAACCATATCGAATGCAGTAAATAGGAAAGAAGGGATAGACTTATCACGTATATGGCAAACTCTAATGAAGCAAGACAGATGGAAAAACAACAAAAACCTCCATGACCTTTAAAAAATGTATTATCATATATATGTCCAAACCAAGTTCACTTTCAACAGTTTGAAAAAATCTGGGCATTGGGTATATGATATTCATTATGATAAAGGTTTTTGTATTTCCCAATGAATGAGAAACAAAACGATATCTTCGTTTTTACTGATGTTTCGCTATTTAATGATAATAGCTTTATCAAATTATTATTAAACTGGAATTTACAAAATCTCAGCATATATATAACAAAGAGTTTTGTTTTTGTTACCGTTTTGTTTTTCATTCATTGGGAAATACAAAAACCTTTATTGTAATAACACATACACTCATACACATCCATACAGAAAAATATACACAATAACAATTTGACATTAGTCATTACAAATATATGTGATGTCTGCTTACCTATTTCTATTGGTACACATGTCTATGGACAAGTGACCTTCAAATCAACTGACTTCAATTTAAGTAAACTTTTTTGACTATATATTTTGATGATTAATGAAAATCCGAATAATTCTTCTGAAGAAGCTGTGGCTTGTACAGCGAAACGTTTAGAAAAATCTTGTTTTGTCTTTTTCTTAAACACGCTGGGATTAATTTAAATAATTCATAATGTATCAATCTGACTCAGCGCTCAAATTATTCCAAGAAGTTCGTAAAACCTGCTGTCTGGAAATATATTATTGTATAACCATTTCACTCTTTTCACTAAGCGACTGCAGTTCTAAGAATAGGAGCTTTTAATAAGCTGTTGGCGTATAAATAATCTGTTTAAAATCACTTGCTTTTGTCTGGTGCCTTGAAATACTGTCGAAGCTTGGAGCTGTATATTACGGAGACGATAAAAACCACCATTTCAAAGCGCTACATTGTGAGATTCACTACTTCCACCTACAGTTATTGTTACAGAGGGCTCAGGAATGATAAATAACAGTAAAATGTCTAGTAACTTTATAGATGTTGACAATTAGGCCTAAAAATAACCCCAAAGTCTAAATATATATTTTGACTGCATTTCAGAACATTTAAAGGAGAGAGAAAAAGAATGTGTGTTTTAGTTTCAGACAAAAAAATTGAATATGTAATGATCACGTCAATTTCAATGCAAAATACGAATACAACTCTGAACAGACAATATGCATTTTAATAAGATATTTAGAAACACTATGTGATATATATACGGGTGTATTACTCAAAAATGGATTTGATTTAATTTAATCATGTTCCCTATACTCTATTTTGCTGTTTAGGATTGTTTTTCAAAAAATAAAAAAATAGTTTTATTATAAAATATCAATTTGATAAAATTACAGTCAAAAGTGAATTAATAATTTCTGATAAAATCTTTGTTTATGTACTGAATATATATAAACAGATATTACCACGTCTATGTCTCTATTGCTAGATGAAAGCTTACAAATTATACCAGAATGGGGTAACTAAAGTTTTGCGTATATCTATAAAGCTATGCATATTCCATCCTCAAGATATAATTGAAAGTAATAATGTAAGCATTTTGTTCTTCCCATTGAATGGAAAACAAAATGATATTGTTTTTCTCACATCTAGCTATTCAATGCTGGTGATATACACAGTAATATATAATGTTTTTTATTAGATGGTCGGAAGCAGTCAGTAGGAAGCCTTCGACCTAGGTTTCATGCTTTCTAGCACTTGTCAGGAAGGCGTGTCTACAATCTTGAAGGAACTCATGCACACACGGAGATTCTAACGGGTGTCACCCACTACCGTAGTCATAGACGTAATTATTATTATTATTTCCTTTAATTCCTAGAGGAACATAGGGCTTCAGCCGTGCGTCTCCATTGCGTTCGGTTCTATGCTAGAGTCTTTACCTAGCTCCAAGTCTGCCCACATGCTTTCATCTCCTCTTCACATGACCTCCTCCAAGTCACCCTTGTACTGACGACCAACTCGCCGCTTCCCGTTCGGGTTCCACTCGAGCAATGGCTTGTCTAGTGATGTCAATTGATGATTTGTTTCCTCAGAGTATGGCCAATCCATCTCCATTTCTTCCTGCCTATTTGTTTCACAATCGGTTCCTGGTTGGTTCGCTCATTGCCAGAGATCTCTGCTGCTGACCTTTCTGGCCATCTGATCATGAGTATTGAGCGAAGACAACTGTTAATGAAGGTCTGTAGTTTGTTTGAGATGCTCTTTATGACGCGCTGGCCAAGTCTCTGATCCGTATAGTAGTACTGACTTCATATTGGAGTTGAAAATTCGAACTTTACGTTTCGTTTTGAGTGCTGTTGACCTCCACATAGACTTGAGAGTAATAAAAGCTTGTCTTGCTTTCCAGATCCTCACTTTGATAACCTCATCAGTTCCGTCGGCCTGTAGCTGAAACGATGCTTCCCAGGTAGGTAAAAGAGGTTGTTTCTTTCAGGTTCCTTCCATTTATGCTGTTTGTTGTCTGTTGTTGTTGTTGCTGTTGGTGGTGTTGCCCAGGAATCTTCATCACCTCTGTTTTCTCTATGTTCACCTGAAGTCCTAGGTTACAGACGTAACCACTGAGCTATTCGCGCTCCCGACTGACCTTCTGTAGGATTGTATTGGATACTTTGATTGGAAACTAGGTAACAACTAGTGTCATGTATCTAGTCCATTTTATGGTGTAGAAAATTATATCAGTCAAGGTTATAATGTGGTTACCATGGTAGGTGGCTAGATATCACAGTGCACTCTAAATTGTTGTTTTTAGATTTTTTTGATTTTTGATTAGAGCTTGAAACCACACAGTATTTTTAGCACAAGTATGGAATTTCCAGCATATGATATCCGTAGCCCAAATTTTACAGGCCGACCATAGATATCAGGTGTGCGTCGGCAGGGGACCGAACCCCGGACCATCTGCATGGTTGGCAAGAGTCCTAACCACTGTGCTACCGACACCACAGTAAGCCTTAGACCCAGGTGTCATGTCTGTTGGCACTCGTTAGCAAGGCAAGCCATCTAGCATGATGACCTTATTGTGAACTTGACTGATAGAATTAAGTCTGCACTGAACAAAGGACTAGATGCTTGACACCTGTTACTACCTAGTCCCCAATCAAAATTTACAATTTTATTGAATTATACGCCTTGTTTTGATATCTTAACAGGAGTATTTCAATCATTTCTGTATTACTACTCACCTGCACGGTTGAGATGTTGTGTTTGGAGGAGCCCATGCTAAAGTGAAATTGGTAAATCCTATAAGATCATTTCTAACTTCATATTTGTACATAAGTTCAGGAAGAAAACTTGATCTGAATGCAATGATGAAAGCCTGTAAAAAAAACAATAATTAAACAAACAAAAAAGGCCTAAATGCTATGATATAATCAAATAATAATATCAACAGGAAAACAACTAAGAATGAGTTCTGGGTTCAAATCTCACCCCATCTACTTCAGGCTGAGCAGCTGGGTATTATTATTAGACCTCACACAGTAAGTGTAGCCTATAGCAGTGTCCAACGTGATTAGGTTAAGTAGTCTTAAAGTCAACCTGGAGTTTCATAATGGCACACCTTGTGGATACGGAACATAAGATTGATTAAAATTCAGCCTTTACAATTCTATACAAGGTGCCACTTCAATTCCCTAAGTTCCTATGCCTTCATCTGCTGTACATAGCTGACGCAGCTGCCATAGGAGATTTTCAACCTAATCTCTGTGTCCAGAAGAAGTTTGTTTAATCCATCTTCCTCCCTTTGTCTTCAACACCCACCTAGAATTGCTATATCTCTCAGTGACACCGGGTAACTGTGGATATTATCTTATTTTCACTTGTCCTGCTGACTTTATTATTTGTATCATGATGTGCTGTAGCTGCATATTATGACTTTAGCTTCACAGTTTATTATTATTATTGTTATACTATCTAACCATCATGTGACGATAACTTTTTTTCCTCTACCACTAGTAGTGTACACATCCTGCTTACGCAATGACGAATACTTAGATTACGTAAACACTTGAATGAATTTATCTTTGTTATACTATCATGACCACCTCCATTGTTGTACATTAACTCATCCCTGTACTTTGATTATATATTTGATTTTATTAATCCATATTCCTTCAAATGTCTATGGTTGATGTTTCAGTGTGTAATTGTAAGGCCTAATGAGAATTTAGTGAAAATGAGTATTCGTCTAAATCATATTCTGTGAGAAGTATTACTTTAAATGTATTAAGCTGACCAGGAAGAAGAACTTAATTCATTCGCTCTGCTCTAGGATAAGGAAAATTTGTAGTTCTGATTCCGTTGACTCGGAACTTGACTTCTTAAAAGCCACCCTCGCAGAAAATGGTTACCCTAACCGATTTATTGACAGCAACATGAAAGATAAGCAGTCTAAACTGGTCACCGACACAGTTCCAAAGAAAACCTTATTCATGAACTTGGAATTCAAAGGTGATCAAGATTCAGATATGCTCAAAAATCGTCTCTCTAAATCAGTCAGTAAGACGTTCTATGCAGCAAAATTACATATGACGTTCACTAGCCGCAAGTTGTTCTCTACCTCTGTAAAAGAAAAGCTCCTCCATCTGGCCGCCTCCATGTGCATCTATCAGTTCACCTGCTCTTGTGGAGCAAGGTACATTGGCCGTAGTCAGAGGACGCTTTCCACACGGATACGAGAACATATTCCAGCATGGTTTTACAAGGGAGGAAGGAAGTGTGTGCGAAGCTCTATTTTGGAACACCTGATCGACTTCTGTCACTCTGTCAACCCTGACCATGATTTTAAGATCATATATAGAATCCATGCTAACTTCCCACCTTTTCTTCTTTACAGACTTCTAAAGATAGCTGAGGCCTTGGCAATTCATGACTTTAAGCCAGACCTTTGTGTACAGAAGAAGTATGTACAGTCCCTACTTCTGCCTTGGCCGTAGAGGGATAGACATCCATTTATTTTGTTTATTTAGTTATTCTATGTACTTTTCCCTTATTACTACGATTATTATTATTATCATTATTATTATTACTATTCTCACTCTGAATCTTTTTCACTTGACCCACTTGACATTTTAAACCCAAAATTATTGATTTTTATATTTTTATTTTTACAATATTGAATTCTATCTTATCAAATTTCACACCATGTTATGTAACATTTTATATTCGTCTACTAATCCTATAATTATGTACCCCTTTCCAAAATTCTATACACCTTATGTATTATTCTATATACGACATTAATTATTTTGCCACTTGACATTAAACTATGATTATAATCACAAATATTTTAATTGCATTTCATACTATTATTATTTCATGTATTCACACCTTTGACCTAATTCCCTCACCGGATATAATTTTTATAAAAACCATATATATATACGATTGTACAGCTTGATAATAAATTCCTTGAAAAGAGTCTCTTCGCTGAATATTGTGTTCTTAAAACAACTTACGGTGTTCCTTTTGATTATTGATAGCTAGTAAGTAGGATGAAGCTTATTTATATTCCTTACGTTATATGTTTTCTTAGCAGCTATCATCTATTTATGTTATTCCACAGTCATTACTTCACTGGTCAACTAGCCAGATTGACCAGAGTTCACAGTGCGACTTTTTTGTTATGCAATTAAATAATGACCTGCACCGCAACCGATATCAGTATTGAATTAGTTATTCTCGAATCTTACCGACTGTGTGATGATTATAACATATGAATACACTTGCGAAAGGATATTATCAAACCGTCTGTTATGGTTCCTCAGTGGTTTATTCAAAAGGCTGGATGGACCACTTCGGTTATGTGTGGCTTACCTTAAGCTGAACCAGCTAACTGGACAAGACTGTTTTTACTCGCTACGTATAGATGATACTTTTGATAACTTGGTGGGGTTGTGTGCGGTCACATTCATTTACTACCTTAGATTTAACTTCTCAATAGTGGCAAGTTGAAATACACACAAGGGACAGACAGAGAGCAGCATTTATTGTACAATGAGGTTTGTAGGAATTTCAAATGATACCGTTCAGGTTAGTAAATACCCCAGTGACATTTCAACGTCTCATGAAAACAGACCTTATTGATTGCATACCAACTAAGTGCTTGGTATGTTTAGACGATGTCACCATACATAGTACGACTATGAATGAACATTTAGGTGGCATTTCCAAAGTACTTGAAGTGTTGGCTTAAAACTAAACCCAATAGGAGGTCATTTTTCTAGGAAACAGGTGTATTTCTCAGGTCACATTGTATGAGCGGAACGCATTAAATGTGATCCAAAAAAGTGAAGGCAGTTAAAGACTGACCGGCTCCTAACTCAGCTTCTAAGCTAAATAGTTTACCAGGGTGGGTTCTTATCATAAGGGTCTTCTGCTTCACTTCTCTTTATTTGCAGCTTATTTATTCAGCATTCTTAAGAAGAAGGAATACAGTTGGACAGTATCAGCTACTGAAGTATTTAAAAGACTCAATAAATGTTGTGTAGTTTAGATAGAACAGAAAGTATGGTGACCTATGCAAGTCATGCACTTAAAAAGAATGAAAAGAATTACTGCACCACGCGAAAAGAAATGCTAGTACTGTATGTATTTCGTAATACGAACTGATCACAAAGCACTTAGCTGGCTTTACAACTTCGAAGAAGCTGAGGGTCAGATTGCTAGATGGCAAGAATACTCAAGAGAATCTGACTTCGAATACAAGCATGGGTCTGGAAAAATCATAGAAATGTAGATGCGTTGCCAAGAAAACCTCTTAGGTATCACTGTAAGTGCCCATCATGGATTGAAGCACAAGTTTTCCTGTTCCCACCAGAGTTACGCAATCCATGTAGCTGGCCTGAACTACAGTCCTTAGACTCTTAACTCTCTTTCATCTGTGAAAGTGTTCGAAGTGGAGGCAAACGATCGACAGCCCAGGAAATAATTAAGCTTGGATGGGGAGCTCGGTGTTTGTGGTCTCTCTGGGACAACTTTCAATGATCGTCTTCTTACCATGAAGTCAATGGAAGGGGAAAAATATGAAAAATCAACTGGAAGTGTTTTCAACGGTTCACCGCCTGAATTTGAAGATTGTCAACAACTTGAATTGGCGGCCAATATAAAAGACGACCACTTTCTCAGTAACGCAAATAGAAGCAAGTGTGGGTATTTACACGGTCTGTATTTCAGTGTTGTGATCATACTTTGTTTCGATCACTTTTGGGTACTGCTAAATCAGACTATCAAATTGATTATTTCTGGTTTGGTTTGGAATAGGGGAGCTACTGTGATTTAGGTGTGATAAAATGCTTCTATCTGACTCAAATAACCACCTGTTACAATACATTTTTATATAAATACAAAGTCTAATTTTCAGCAGTGACTAGTGACTCAAGATTATTCTCCCGATAACTTCATTTCCAAATTTTCCAGCGATACAGTGATCTCAGTTAGTTAAAGAACTGAAGTTAGTTCAGGCAGATTTATTCTAAGGTAGTGTTTGTTAAGAATATGAAGAACTATTTGGTAAAAATTAATGCATTCAAGGAATGTGTCCATATGTGATGAAATCAAATGACTTTTAATTGAACGTTAGAGGAAATGGACACTAGTTCCATTCTTGATGGGAATTCCTAAAGAACATTTACCGGAACATGTACTTGGACAATAAGCCAAAAACTGAATGTATTACTGTACGTTTCAAGGATCAGGGAAACAAACGACCGTTTTTCGTCGTCATTCTGAGTTACAAATCTACCCTATTATTTTATAAACACACTGTAGTATTACTGTTGTGACATATTCAAGAAAAAAATCAAATGAAAAATCAAACAAGTTAGCTAACAAAAACGAATCAATTAGGAAGTTATTCTACTCACATTCGATATGACAGCCAGTCGAACAAGGAAATCCAGTATTCGAAACCAAACTCCTATATTCTGTGCACGTTCTGCCAACGGCCTACGTGTTTCACAAACTAATTTCTTTGCGTCTAGACGAATTTCAATCCAGTTGTTAAGCAGCGCGAAAAATGGGGCCAAAGGAAATGCAGCCACAAAAATTGTGATGAATCCGAATTGAAGAACTAGAAAAAAGAAGATTTTAAGAATTATTCAAAGAGTCATTTACGGAATTCATTCTAACATATCAGAAATGTGTTCATAAAATTAAGATTTAAAATGTCACAGAAATCAACTGTATTTAACCATAAGGTTGAATACTTATATTATCACTCATGAAACTGCTTTCAATAGAACTTATTCACTAAGAAGTATTATGTGCTTAAACATATTCAGTAGTGAAGAAACTGGAACACACTTTCCCTAATAATCCATGTGTTCCTTTAATATAATAATAATAATAATTTGCTTTATTCCAAAACAGTACTTGTGATACAGAATGGAATTCTCAGCATTTTACTACAGTATTGCATCCAGTTTGTACATTATCAATAAATAGAATTCTACATAGATTAAGGAAATCTCAGTTCATTATGACAACAACATATTGGCATGTCGGTAGCAAAGCCAAAGTTAAACAGTGTTTGAAGGTGTTAGAAAAGTAGGTGCTATCATATTTACTGGCGTAAGCGGAAGAAAGAAACAAAGCAGCACATAACGGAAAAAAAGAAGAGAGAGAAAAGGAAAAGAAAGAAAGAAAATGTTGTACCTATAAATGATATCAGTTGGAAAGACGAGGTCCAGTTGTTCTACTGACTATTTAATGAATTAGGTGTCACGCCTAATGCTTTCTTTATCGCACAGAACACGAGCTAAGTAGGGTATGGTTGAGTTTTTGTACTTGCACCAGCTGGTGCGAGCATATAGTTTTCTATATAGGCTTCTGGTTTTGCCTGATGAGATGCAAGGGGAGAGTTGTGAGTGAAGAGGGTGGTGTGAGTTAGATAGAATGGATTTAGCCCATTTTTCACATGAGTCCATGTGCCTGTCGACCAGAATATTAACAAGCTGGTTAAGTGGCACATTGCTTACCCTGCTGACAACCTTTAACATCCTGCGTAATATGTTATAGTCTTTCTTCAGTAGCCCGGGAAAAACTAAGAGGGAACAATAGAGAATAATAGGCAGAATGCGAGAGTTAACGAATTGTAGGAGTAAGGGTTGGGTTATACCAGAATGTTTTAACTTCTTGATGTAGAAGGTAAGACGGAATATTTTCTTAGAAATCGCCAAGATATAAGACGACCAGGAGAGATCAGCAGATAGAATGACGCCTAGGTATTTAATTTCCGACTTGGTTTCTATTTCAGTGCCATCTATGTTGCATACCTCGTGAGAGCCAACCAGTTTGTTTAGGTCGGATTTATGCCTAAAAGTGAAATTGACTGTTTAGCATTTGGAGGGGTTTAAGGTAAGACCGTTTTCCTTGGACCACTGGCTGATTTCTGACAGAAAGCCATTTAGTTTAGAGCAGTCACTTTGACATTTGACAGGCAAAGATACAGTCAGGTCGTCAGCATATTTGACAAAATTAATGTCATTCGAAGATGGTAAGTCATGTAGAAAGAAAGAAAAGAGAAGTGGGGAGAGTACAGCACCTTGGGGGACACCAGCTTCAGTGAGCGCAGCAGAGGAGGATTTACCTTTGTATACAGTGTACTGCATTCTGTTAGAGAAGTATGAATGCAACCAGTTAGTGACCCAGGACTCAGTTTTTGTCATAGAGAGCTTATTTAGCAAGAGACATCTAGGTACAGAGTCGAAAGCAGAAGTGAAGTCGAGAAACGTGCAGCGTAGTTCACTGATCCGGAGATAAGTAAGAAGCATTTTTACAATGCAGTCAACTAACAGCTGCTAGTTATGCTACGGTAGAAGACAAGACACCTGGTATTTGATATCGCTATATAATGAAATTATGTACACTTTATCTGCAAATCGTCATTTGCACAGATCTTCCATGTTGTACAACTTCTGCCCTTCGTAGTGTGTTTCTTTGTCTTCTTTTCGTGTCTCCTATATTTTGCCTCAATACTGGTCCATTCGCTCTCTTTGACCTCAAGTCTATCGATACCCTATTCGATACTTTTGTGCTGATGAACGTCCCTTTGTATACTACTAACTAATAAGCCTTGTCAGTAGCATAAGCCACAGTTATAACCTACTGTGTTACTGAGTAACAGTGATTAACACTCAAATTACTGGGCCAGAAGAGAAATATATTCCATTATTTAGTTAATAAACAATTGACTAAAAAAATGAGTAATGTGACTATACTCACTATGAAATAATCAAAATCATTCAAAGTAGTGAATACGTTCTTATAAGTAGAATACTGTTAAGCAGGTGAAATTACATTAGCTTCACATTCAGAAAAGTGATAAAAGGACTGGTATGCGTAAATCAAGTAAGTTAAGGTTAAAAGGAACTATAAAATACTGTCAAATGGATGATGATTAATCGCGATAAATTCATTGGGTATATGGAACGAAGATTAATTACTAGTGTTAAATAATATGCATTCTTGCAGTGTACTACAGTAGACAAGTAGAGTGTCTTTATTTGAAGTTCCAGTTCACAGTAAATAGTTTGTTATTTTGGTGTCATTCGCAAGTAAGATAATTAAGCATCGCAGTTATGATGCACAAATTCAGCTGAATATCTGTCATATCCCATCTACTACCCCACCGTAATGTGGGTTATGAGTAACATTATTAAGAAAAAATTAGATGAACTATCTTTGAATAAAAAACTTAAAAAGGTATGCCAAGTATTGTAAGTGTAAGAAAGTTTTAAGAATTTTTATAAATAATGACAAATTATTGGTCAACCGCCAGTGGTAGCTTTTCATCACGTATCATCTTTTCAAGTTTGATCACGGATTGATATCAATTAAACAACCACTGTAAAAGCAAGGAGTACTAGACATCTGTTTCATTCTAGTCTGGAAATCCCCAGAAGTATGCACCCACAAGGGTTCGAACCTAGGACCTTCCAGTTACAAAAGGAAACTGGTATACCTCTCAGCTACTGGGAACCAATTCATTGGCCTCTACCAAGTGGTGACTTTGGTGCCACCACCAGCCAGTGTCATCGGGGAGTATTTGTCCTCCCGCCCGACCTAGTGAGCACTGATGGATGTTTATTGGGGAAGAGTTCAAAACTAGGACGAAACAACTGTTCCGAACTACTTGATTTTCAGTAGTTCCATAAATGATATCAATCCGTTAATAAAAATGAAAAAAATCAATTCCCTATAAAATTAACTCTTGAAAACAGGTAATTTTATTTCTCTCATCACTGATTTAGTTAATAATAAGGGTGAAGAGAAGTATGAGTAACTTTAACACGACACTTCATAACACTTTCCTCTATTTTTCTATACTATCTATGGGATTTCATGAAATTTAATTAAACAGTTAAGAAACAAATAAACGAAACAATATTAAAACATTTTACAGGGAAATAAGAATTTTGAGGACAAGGTACAAATTCTGTTCCCTCTTAAGTCTTCACCTCACTAATACATACACGCACGCATGAGTACAAACAATAATCGCTATGATATATATATATATAAGTGCAAGGGAATTTATAACAGAAAGGTTTTTTCGCCTCATTAGTCAATCAAAAGCATTCACCCGATTTATCTTCAGTACATGATTCTCTAATAAAACAAAGAGCCTCGAATTCGCCTACTTGCCATAATATCTCAAAAAGGAGACTCATATTTGTATAGATTTTAATGATTCTAAATTAACGAATTGACATAACAACTTTCTTAGTTGAAACGAAGAAAAACAAGAGAAAAATGGTGTACGAAATAGCCATTTACAGTGTTTTTTTCTTTAATGCTTTGCGTTCCAAGTGGAACGTTCGTCTTCAAGCTTGAATCTCTGAAGTTTCACTTGTGGTGGTGTCATTTCACAGAATAGGGTTCACAGACCCAAGTAAAGCCTTCCCTCTTAAGTGGGCTTTCTATCAACTAGGTAAGGTTTAGGAGTGCGTCGACCAGGAATCGAATCGGGACCGCGTGCTTGTTTGGCGGGTCTTTTACCACTGACCTATTCACAGTGATCGGTGAAATTATTTGACACTTTAGAATAACTATATGTATATGAGGAATGATGTTTAACTTGATTATAACATTAAATAATCAAGAGAGTTTAAGAGCACTGAATGAATGACATTTCACTACCACTGAAAATTTCGAGAAGTTTCTAAAAGCTTTTGTACAAGTAACCACATATCAGTATAAACTGATGAAATCGATCTTATCAATTTGTAAGTTGCGAATTCAGAAATTCTATTAAAAGATGAATAGTAGCCACATGGAAAGCATTGTGGTTGAACAGTCTTAAGTGTACGAATTCAAATTTGTAGATTAAATTTTCAGTGTGGTCATTAAGCTAACTGATATGAAATACCTGTACACAACAGTGGGCTATATTTTAAGTCAGATGTTAGGATTTGGTTGGCTGGGATTCTTAACGACCTAACATCATTTCGGTAGAAATAGAATCATAATTTCGAATCAATGAATTGAATTATTTTGTGAGATATTATTATCAATATTTTCCTTATTAGGAATTTTGTAATCACTGGCTTCAAAGGTTAACTCGACGGCGAAAAAGCCGTTCCACCGATCAACCCAAAAGGCCGGGAAAATAACATATTTCCCATTTCACAGATAAAATGGGACCTTATGAGATCCATTTTTACTAAAGAACAGAATTTTTTATTTGACACTAATCAGTAACTAGTGTGATGTGTCTAGTCCTATCTTTGGTGCAGATTGAATTCTATCAGTCAAGTTTGCAATGTGGCCACCATGCTAGGTGGCTCGCCACCACGTTGCACTGTGAATTGTTGGTATTAAATGGTTGGAGGCCATCAGCAGGAAGCCTTGGACCTAGGTTTCGTGCTAGTTCGAATCTCAGAAGGGACATGAGTTCCTTCGAGGTTGCAGATACACCTTGCTAACTGGTGAGTGCCAACTAGCACTAAACCTAGGTCCCAGGCTTCCTGCTGATTGCCTCTAACCATCTAATACCATAGAACAGAAATCATCGGAATATACCTTCGTTTGGTTGAGTGTCAAGATGATGTCCTTTGATATATATGTCTACATAGCTCTTATGACAGAATGAATGATCTGAGAATCCCTCTTGAATAATCTGTTTACAGTCTGGACATTTACTCGAGTATTTTCGTTAATCTTGTAAATGTCACGCATTTCCCTTGACATGCACATCACTATTTTTAAATCAGCAGCCTTTACTTTACTTAATCCTGATTGTTTTTGTTTTTGACTCAGTCTTACTCTTAATACTCCATTTTGCTATATAAGTGATACTTCATCAACACCATAAGGTGTTGTTATATTATCCTCATCATTTTGTTTGGTTGTAGTGACTCTCTGATCTTTGAATGCCTGCATGAAACACTTATAATTCTACTTGATTCTCTGTATTATTATTCCCATGGGTTTCAAGTGGAAAATAGGACTTCAACAGCCCATCTCCCTGTTCTCTGCAATCTTTTTTGCTTGGCACAAAGATTTACTATGAGCTTTCACTTCCCAGGCTCTATCTGATGCTTGCAGATATAACTCCGATCCTGTTTCGTTGAAAATAGTTATTATGGGCTCTTAAGTGTGTTACAGCTGTGCTTAGCTGTGTTGCTACTATTCACTGTATGAACAAAAATATTTGCAGGATAATACGAGCTCTTTTCATTTCGTGAATTCTCTTCTGTTCGCAAACCGAAGTAACCAGAAGGAGAAGCCACTGCAATCAAAAAACTTCAACCCAACCTATGCATACAGAAAGATAGTATGACTACTGTCTCACTACCCTGGTAACCATAATTGTTTTGTTCATGTGATTTTGTGTTTTTTTCTGTTGCGCAACGTTCCACTCAGTCTCAATATTGATTTTCACTCACTGAGTTGAACTCATAATTAAGGTTCTAAATCTACTAAATTAAATTACTTTATCTATTTTATAATTTTGCTCCACTATTCATCCCACCCTCCTGAACACTCGACTATAATATGTATAAATTACCTCTGTTGCTCTGTCTTGTATTTTATCTCTAGTCCATCCTTGTTTCCAAGAGAAATCTGAATTCCACCCCAATATGTAACTACCAAATAAATAGTTCTGGTTCGAACCCCAGCGGGTGCGTACTGATGAAGAGTCCCAGACTAGGAGAAAACAGCTGTCCAGTACTGTCCAGGTTTTCCAATGGTTCTCTAACTAATGTCAGCTCATGATGAAATCCTGTAACCAAATAGTTACCCTTTTAACACTAAATAATTGTATACTTATATCATCTTTGAAATTATTTTGCTTATACATTCTATCTATGACTTGAAATCAGTGTAAAAAGTATGTTCAGAAACCATTTTTAAACATATAATTGATTTATTTAGGATTTATGTAGCTGATGAGAATCCACGAAATAAAATGAGCTCGTGTTATCCTGTTCTCAAATATGTTCGTTCTTTCTTGATTCAAACTGATAAAAGGAACTGGCCGTATAATCACTGTATATTTCGTATTTGGCATCACAGGAACCTTTGAACTGTATAACTATCCAACAGGGATTTGGAGGTATTTTTCTGTTTTGCTTTGCGTATAACTTGTCTTCGTTTAATAGTACAAGAAGTTTTATTGTGTGAAATCATGCTCTAATGTTATTGAAATATAATCTTCGATTGCGAAGTAACTCAAGGAAATTCAAGGAATTATTCAGAAGAACTATGTAAATTATTCAGTTGAATTTAAGATTTTCCTATCGATTGTCTGAACCGAAGTGCTCGGTCTCAGGTTGACATGTCGGCCTCTTGTGCAGATGCTTCGACGATGTCTGGGCATGTAATTCGAATTTAATTGGTGGATAGTGACTAGCAGAGGAGTCCATGATGCGCATTTCCCCCTATGCGCACTGGGTTCGAGCCTCGGTGAGAACATCATCACTCCCTGGGGAATACAGGCATATCCAGTTGACGACGAAATACGCATCCTGAATTCCACTGCTGGTCACCATCCAACAGTTAAACTCGAACTTTGTAAATTGTCCACATCGTATTTACATATCTCTTTCTGATTGACTTTGTGTTTGGACTGAAATGCTTGGGTTTTAATTGTTACGATACTTTAGGTTCTAATCACAACGATCAATTCGAGTATTTAATTGGTGGATGGTGACTAGCAGTGGAATACAGGATGCGCATTTCGTCCCATTTGGGACTCGTCAATTCGAGTACCTGTCAAATTTTAATTACCAGCAGCTTACATCATGAGAATCTAAGAGTTGTGAAATAATGTGTATCAGTTATGGACAACTTTTCCGTCATTTTCAAGTGGATTTATTCAAAATCATATATATATATATAAGACATTAGAAAGACAAATATTACGAGATGATATCATTTTGTAGTTTCTTTATGATCGCTTTGCAACTACTAGTATGCTTCACAATAAAAAAATAAAATATTCGGCAATCAATAAGTTATATTAAAACAAAAGTACATACTAATGACCTATCATAGTTTAGTAGGTCAAGTAGTGAATGGTAGGCAGAAACTGAGGTTTTTCATCTTCTTTACACACAGCTTATGATGCATGCTATTGATTTTGATGTGGTTGTGTTCTCTGAGCTGGATAGTAAATTTGTGAAGCTTTCATTGACCTACTAGACAACATCTTCAGCGCATACTGCAATTTGAAGTGAGCCTTTCGAATTCTTTACGAGTTTATTAGTCATCTCTCATGGAAGATGACCCTGAACGTGATTGGTTGTTTTTGTGTGGTTTCACACCTTCTACGCTACTCGTATTGGAATTGATTGTTTCCTTAGCTTGAACTTTGACCTTGTGTGTGTGAGAATTCCTTCTTATCGGTTGGTAAATTTTGTCTATCTCGATGTGTCTATTGATTGACGATTCACTGGAATACCAGCCTTTTAAAAATTCTCCAGCATTCTTGGTGTTTCCTCTGTCTAATATTTGAACGTTAATTGTCCCAGTCGAATTGATGTCCGTGGTTGTCTGTATGTGAGGATATGAGGGAGTAGGTGTCATGTCTTTTGACAGCTACCTTATATTCATGGATACGAAGACGAAGGGGACGTCCACTTTGGCCAATGTATTGTTTCTCGCAGTTGTTATAATTTATTTTGTAGATGATGTTGGTTTTATCCTCCTTCGTTTTGTGCTGAAGATGTTGCCTAGTAGGGCGATGAGGGCTTCGCAAATTAACTATCCAGCTCAGAGAGCACTACCACATCAAAATTATCCACCTGAGCTATAAATATCCTCCATCATATGCTATTGATTGCATGACTTGATCTCCACTGAATGGTAGTTTAATAAGGATAACTTTATTTGTACAGAGATCTTAAGGGAACTACGAAATGATATCGTCTCACGATAATTGTCTCCTTAATGTCTTATCTAAATTTATCGAAGGGGCTAACTGTTTCAATATATATATACATATATATATCTTTAGGACAATAAATGAATTACCCATTTCCAGATATTCATCAAACAACCCTTCATACGGTATTAGCTTGTAATCTTCAATGTATATATGATCTCTGTCCAAGTCACTGGTAGAAGCAACATTTCTCTGGTTTAATCCTTTTCGGTATTTATGAAACCATGTACGCAGTTTACTGTTACAATAAAAAAAAGTAATGTCAACAATACCACATGTCAGTAATGTACACAGTACTAGCAATCAATATCATATACACATAAAAAAAAGCAGAAGAATGAAAAAAACCTCAGAGTTATTTAACGTTTTTGGCGTAATACCACCATTCACTACATTTGTCGATTTTTAACTGAAACTATACCTTTCTTAGACTTTTCTTTAGCACGATTACTGATTTAAGGATAAAACTTGGGCAGTGTGGTGGTAGAGTATAACTCACACAGTGTCGCTGTACAAAGATATTTACTGATGATCACGTTTCAAGCGCAATTTATTGCTACTCATAATCATATCAAGTCACTCACACAACTTTCTTGCTTCATTTATAGACATGAGTAAAAATTCACTAGACATTTGAATAAAATCAATATAAGATAAAGTAAATTCGGAAATAATATTAATGTTATCAATAAAATACAGTAAGATGAGAAATAAGATGTTTTTATAGTAAAAATAAGTAACTTGTTAGGATGTTATAGTGTGAATTGAATACATTTTAATATTATTTATTATTCTCCGATTTGACTGATAATAATATCTTCCATATCTCTGGTACTTGAGTTGAGCAATTCCTGTTGCATGTGTTGGGTGTAGACTCCATGAACAAGGATTCAGTAATCAACCTCTCTCTCCACCTACCTAGATTACTTTTTAGTATTTTTACCCTCTTCCACCCTATTGTGTGGTTGTGTGTTAATGCATGCATTGCAATTGCCGAGCTTTTTTCTAAATTACTTATCTTCTCTGGGTCAACCATTCTTACCTTAGCTAAATTCTTATGTTCTGACAATCTGACTACCCCTGACCTACTAGTTTGACCTATGTAGTTGACCTCACAGTCAATGCAGGTTATTTTGTAAATTATATTATTTTGTTTAACTGGGTCAACAGGGTCCTTTAACCTACAGAGCTTGTCCTACCTGAGTGAGTTTGTAGGTTTAAATGCCACTCTAATTCCTGCTTTATTAAGAATCCTACGTAGTAGGGCCTCAGATGTCCCCTCATTATTTGGTAGAATTGTAGATGCCTTATATTCTCTCTTATTTATGTTATCATTATTAGTTTCACTGTAATTTTTATTTTGCTTTTGACCTTTTTTGATATTCCTAATAGATTTTATAGGATAGTTATTTAACCCCAACGTGTCTTCTTTAGCAGATTTACATGTTTGAAAATTCTATTACACTAATTTATTAAAATACTGGCTTTAATGTAAAAGGTAAAGGACTAATGATCTATAATAATCCTACTGTAACTTATTATTCACAGGTTTTTGAATTCCTTTAGCTAAAACAGTAAAGAAGCGATGAAATCTTATAATCTATGAATTGTTTATCATACTTGGAATGTACCTTTTGATTAACAGAATAACTACAATATCATAAAGTAAAGCATGAGGTTTTCAGTTTATAATAATTAGTTATGAATTACTCTACTATTATCAAAATGTTTCGCATTCAGCGAATAACCAAGATATAACAGCGATTTGAATGAAATTCTACCGAAAACTTTGTTATATCATTTGTGCGTGCTAAACTGCTTGATACAATGAAGTTGATATATTACTGATAAACTACTATGATGCTATTCTGATTAGCAATACACATAATGTTTTATTTATTGCTGATGAGAAATTCTTTCTGGGACAAAAACAATTACTTATGTAAATATGTGTAAACAGAAAAATTCATTGACATAGGCAACATTTTTACAGTGAAGAATGCTGTAAACAAAACATTAATGAGATGCCTATCTACTGATCAATTGGCAATTATACATGAAAATTTGTCCATATATTATGAAATGAATTTTCCTTCAAAATCTATAGATATACCACTATTATTATTATTGTTTCCTTTAATTCCTAGAGGAACATAGGGCTTCAGCCGTGCGTCTCCATTGCGTTCGGTTCTCTGCTAGAGTCTTTACCTGGCTCCAAGTCTGCCCACACGTTTTCATCTCCTCTTCACATGACCTCCTCCAAGTCACCCTTGCACTGACGACCAACTCGCCGCTTCCCTTTCGGGTTCCACTCGAGCAATGGCTTGTCTAGTGATGTCACTTGATGGTTTCCTCAAAGTATGGCCAGCCAATCCATCTCCATTTCTTCCTGCCTATTTGTTTCACAATCGGTTCCTGGTTGGTTCGCTCCCAGAGATCCCTGTTACTGATCTTTTCTGGCCGGCCATCTGATCTTGAGTATTGAGCGAAGACAACTGTTAATGAAGGTCTGTAGTTTGTTTGAGATGCTCTTTATGATGCGCAGTGCAAGTCTCTGATCCGTATAGTGAGTAGCACTGACTTCACATTGGAGTTGAAAATCCGGATCTTATTTTTGATGCTGAGTGCTGTTGACCTCCACACAGACTTGATAGTAGTGAAAGCTTGTCTTGCTTTTCCGATTCTTGCTTTGATATCCTCGTCAGTTCCGTCCGCCTGTAGTTGAAACGATGCTTCCCAGGTCGGTAGGTAAAATAGGTTGTTTCTTTCAGGTTCCTCCCATTTATGCTGATTGTTGTCTGTTGTTGTTGTTGCTGTTGGTGGTGTTGCCCGGGAATCTTCATCACCTCTGTCTTCTCTATGTTCACCTGAAGGCCTATCTTCTCTGGATGCTTCTTCTGCCAACTTGTTGCTTTTCGCTTGCATATCTTCCAGTTTGTTGGAAATCAGACATATATCATCGGCAAAGTCCAGATCCTCCAAGTTTTTTGTGTGAGTCCATTTTATGCCTGTTTCCTTATTGCCCGTAGATATACCACTATACTGTTTTTATTCCTTTACATTCCTAGTGGAGCATAGGGCTTCAAGCTAGAGCTTTCAAGTTTTGGTAACAGTGGTATGTACTTTTACGGGATGGGATTGCTAGCCTCATGCCCAACCGTGACTCTTTACTCGTCTTATTACTGGCTTAGCAATGTAAAGGATTGCGTCAGCCGGGTATCGAACCACCTGCCTGGTTTGCGAGCATTCTACTGCTGTGACACCGATGCATAACACTATTCGCCGTCTTTAAATATGATACTGTGAAAGAATCACTTTCAAAATCTATTTTTACTGTTGTTATTAAGAAAAGAAAATTTCACCATTGTTTATAGTTGTACATAATGATATGCTTATGTTGTCTGACTGAATTTCATTGATTTGAAAGTAGATTTTATCACAGAAGGTTAAGAGTTTGAAAAAAAGTTTGAAATCCGAAAGAAGTGGATATTTAGCCTTCGACTGAGAATCTAAGCATCCATGTTTCCGGACTGACATGAAATACATAAAGCCAAAGGTTTTATACTAATTCATTGATCATAAATATCTGTTTTTGATGTAAGTCTTGTGTTCTGTTATTGTAAAAGCATACTGAGAGATGATTGTCGCTTATTCACGAATATTTTTGTTGATAGATAGTGGCTTTATGGTCTAGGAGCCCGCCTTGTAACCAGAAGGTCCTAGGTTCAAACCCCAGTGGGTGCATACTGCCGAAGAATCCCAAACTAGGATGAAACAGCTATCCAGTACTACCAGGTTTTCCAGTGGTGTCAGGTCATGATGAAATCTTCCAAAGAATTTTAGAAACTCAAGACATTCTGTCTGAACTTATGTAACTAGATAGTGAGAAAGTTTATTTATAATCCCACTTTTACATTTAGATGCTCGTATGATTATTTCTAAAATTACTTCAGTTGTTATGAATTTATAGTTGCTTGATGATGTGTCCCACATAATGGTTTCTTTGTGAATTATGTTCGATAGAGATCTTGGTAGTAGAGTTGTTCCCAGTCTTGTTAACAATTTGTACAGTTACATATGCTTTTATGTGTACTAATTAGATTTTCAAACTTTTACTGTTATTACTTTTATTTTGTTGATTCAAGAGACATTTCTTATCTGAAAACCGCCAGCTAGAACTTTTCACTTACATTTCAATAACTGTTAGCTAATCTTGAGTGCAAGCAGCATGTTTCATACTGCTCTAAATTCATTTGGTCAGCATATTCGCATTCTAGCGTTTGAAATCCTTCTTGAAGAGACTTGTCGGCTTTTTAATCCCGTAGATAAAATTCTACCATATTAAGGGATAATCATCACCCTTTTTGTATCCTGAACGAGAGCATCAAAACATCAGGATCGAGGTATATTCAAGTAACAATTTTCAGAAGAAATGGAACATGCGTGTTGAATTCCAATGCTATTAAGTTATTACTATCAAACACTCTTAAGTAATCCATATTTCGTTCAATGAATCCCATTAAGGTTAACAGCGAATGTGAAGGAATGGTGTACAAGAGACTGTCTTATCATTTACTTTCTAATTTATAGATATATCTCACTGTATCATATACCAATAACATTTTTCAAACTTGCTTCCACGCCGCATTTAAATGGTGTAAATTGATATTCAGCTGCAAAGGGGTATTTTCTTCTTTCATTGGATTACCCGCCAAACAATTGAACATTGAAGCTATTTACTAAAATTCTGATACATATTTGATTTTTTAAACTACTGTAACTTATATACAATGTAACAGGCCTATAATTTATAACACTACTGTCATAAGTTAAACTCACGGGATAAGAATTTCTTGGCAGTTACTAATTATTTGTTTACCAACCATGATGACTAGTAATTGTTGAGCCAATTCAATTAAGCAGCCACCATTATTGCATGCTTCATTGCGTAGACCGAAAAAGGATATGTAATGACCGGGATAACCGACCATTCTGAAGATTTTAAAAGAATATAATTAAACTGCAACATAGACTGAAAACAAGAATTTTATCTTTTTATTGTATAAAATATTTTTAAGCAAGAGGAGGGGAGATCGTTAAAGGTCATTCTGTGGTAATTTGTCCGTAAATTGCGACATTTTTTAAACATTAATGTCAATTTTCTTTTACGATGACATCTTCACTGTCTACACAGTTTTCGATAACTGGTGTTACTCTAGTCAATTAGCAGAAGATATTTTTGTCGTTTGCTTTTCGACTAACATCGAAAACATAAAGTGTATTACTGATCGTTAAAAACTACACTGATAAGGTAGCTGTTGTAACTCAGGGAAGTTTCTCTATCCGACTGTGATGCGAAAGTGACTAAGTCATTCACCTGGTAGATGAGGCCCAACAAATACCTCTCAGCTACATTTCTTTTCCCGATGTCACAAGCACATTACATGTAATCAAATGATGTACCCATATTTCCACTTGTGGTTGATGAGATAAACAAGTAGTTGGAGGCGAAGGAAACTTTCGATTCCGTCCAATAAAACATGCAGCCAAAGTGGTTCCTAAAATCATATTTCTCTTATATGCGTATTCCTTTTTGAACAAAATTGATAACCATAATTATTTGTCTGAATCATGTAATGTATTTGAGCGACACACGGACTCGTCATAGGAATATATATGAAATTAATAAAGATTAATGTCTTATTTAAGGGATTTATTACTTCTATATACTAACAATGTTAGGTTTACATTTGAAGGTGATTATTTCCACCAAGTTGCTATGGGAAGTCCGTTAGGGCCGCTTTTAGCCGATATTTATATGTCGTACAGTGAGAATTTATCAGAGGATTTAATCGAAAATAAGCCTCTTTATAGAAGGTATGTAGGTGATATTGTAATCATCATTGATAAGTCTTGTTCTGCCACCTCAATTTTAAATCGAATGAATGAGGTTCAGAATAGCATATCACTTACATCTGTAGAAGAGGAAGATAATTGTTTATCTTTTCTAGACATATTGCTTAGTCCACGGCTTGATGGGTCAATAAAAAGATCTATTTATAGAAAACATACCTGGACAGGATAGTATCTTAATTACCACAGTTTTTGCCCTGTTCGGTACAAAAGAGCCTTAGTAAGGTGCCTCTTCAGTAGAATCCAACGAATATGCACTGAAGACACACTTGATGAAGAAGAAAGAAAGTTGACACGAACTCTGGTTGACAACAATTATCCAGACAAGTTCATCAGGAGATATAAGGTAATCAGAACACCAAAACCCATTCTACAACTCGCCCTTAAGAAAGACGTGTACATCAAGCTACCCTATATGAGGTATCATAGCAGCTTGATAACTAGACAAAGACTGAACGCTGCTGTTAAAAAGACTTTTTATGCAGCTTATATCATAATAATAGAGAATGTAAAGCCAATATATCTATCTAAGCCCTTCGAACATGCGAAGAATGACGTCACATCCTACTGTATTCACCAATTTGAATGTACGTGTGGACACACATACATAGGGAGGACTCATCGATCTCTGCAAGTTAGCGCTGGCTTCACAGCATATTCCTAAATATCTCCAGAAACAAATGGAATCTTCACAACCCATTAATGCTAAAAACAGGAGACCTAGCTCCTTTATTGCGAGATATATTATTGTAGAGACAGGAAGCAAAATTGACGTTAAAAGATCTTTTAAACCTATCTATAAAACGTGTTTGGAGCGTATCCTAAAGTTTGTGGAAGCGCCCTAGCAATTAGAAAGTTGAAACCATCTTTATGCGTTCAAAAACAATTCGTCATCCCAGTAAACCTTTCTTGGTAAACTTTGTCTTGATACCGGCCAGGCTAGGTGTACTATTGTAACAACAGAAGACAAGGGCCAGGCAACAGATCGTTTATTACGAAAAATCAACACGTATTTATAGATTTTTATGTACATTATTGAAGGTCAATGTTAGTAGAAAATACAGTCTTTCGATTGGTTGTTTATCACACAAAGTTAACCTTGCATCTCTTGTGGCTGTGTCAGTTCATCTATATGTTAACTGTAACCGCCTGTCCACCTTGACCTTTGACCTCAATTACTGTCAACCAATTTGGCCAGCAACCATCTCTCACAACAACATGACTAATATTTGATACAAAAACATTGACCTCAATTACTGTCCACCACTTGGCTAGTGGACAGCTCTCACCACACTCGTCCCCCCGTCAAATAGTTTGGACTGAAGTCGGCTCGGTCTTCTTGGTTCTTGGGGCTTTGCTCTGTTGTCTTGCTGTCTGGAATCTCGGCGCTTGCGGATGTCCACTTGTTTAACGGTGTTTACCATTGCGATTGTGCCTGCGTAACCCCATCTCAACGTGACCATATATGGTCCTTCCCACTTTGGAAACTGTTTGCCTGACCCTGTCGCACATTCGTAGGTATTTCGCCTCACACTTCCATATGCTGCTTTCTCCCGACCTCCCAGCAGCGTCCCAAGTAGCAGCCTCATCGCTGACAGATCTTGAACGCTACTCAACTGCGAAGAAGCCTCGAAGTCCTGCGCGAAGATCCATATGTCTCCATCAAAAACTGCAGGGCATAGGCTTTCCATTTGTCGGTAGGCAGCGACACCAAATGTAACAACAGAAGACAAGGGCCAGGCAACAGATCGTTTATTACGAAAAATCAACACGTATTTATAGATTTTTATGTACATTATTGAAGGTCAATGTTAGTAGAAAATACAGTCTTTCGATTGGTTGTTTATCACACAAAGTTAACCTTGCATCTCTTGTGGCTGTGTCAGTTCATCTATATGTTAACTGTAACCGCCTGTCCACCTTGACCTTTGACCTCAATTACTGTCAACCAATTTGGCCAGCAACCATCTCTCACAACAACATGACTAATATTTGATACAAAAACATTGACCTCAATTACTGTCCACCACTTGGCTAGTGGACAGCTCTCACCACACTATTACCTCTCTTATTTGGTTTAGTGGTCTTCATTGTTATTTTGACCTTGAATATGTCCTTTTAACTTGACCTAAATTTATTTTCTCACCTCTTAACTCTTTATTAATTTCATATATATTCCTATGACAAGTCCGTGTGTGATCAGATTGTTCGAAATGTGTTGCGCAAATACATTACACGATTCAGACAAATTACGTCTTCTTATTGCTTTATCTAAATTCATAAAGGGAACTAATTGTTTTAAAAACCATAATTATGTCTCTATATATTTTTATAATTATATGTCCCTCGGATTCCTAGTGGAAAGTAGGACTCCAGAAGAGCATCTCCATTTCACTCTCTTCTCTGTGCTTCTGATATCGCGCAACCTTTCATTTTTTTCTCCGTCGTGTTACCCTTAGGCCATCGCCCTTGTTCTTTGCTTCCCATTCAGGTTCTGCTCAAGCGCCTGAACTTTCACTGAAAGTATTGTATATTGTATTCACCATTACACTCAATCTTTTCAATATTATTACGATTATCATTCGGTTTTAAATTCCTAACGTCTTCAAGTTATGTCTCTGATAACTAGTTGTTTATTATGATTGATGTAACTGAGTGATAATTTCTAGTCTCCAATACCACCTCCCTCCTTATCCATCTGAACTCGACCTGTAACACATTGGCACATGCTGTTTTGCATGACTGCTTCACTGTAGTTCATTTATCAGTCAAATATCTCCCAATATATTTCTGGTGGTATACATATCATTGTATGTACAGTAGTCAGCCGAAGGGTTTTACTGAAACTTGATGAAGTCATTAAATGTTGACTTTATTATTATCATTTTTGCATATTTGCTGGGAAATCGGTTCTTGGTTGGTTCGGCTCTGAACATTATAGAGGGACTAACTTGACACAAGTGTTGAAAACTTGGATCTTGTTCCTTGTGTTAAGTACACTGGGTTGCATCACTGCTTTTAGAGTAATGAACCTTCGTCTTACTCTCTGAATTATATCCCACCTTTGACATTCTCATATTGTGCCATTTATAGTTGCGACGATACTAACTAGTTTAGGTAGGTAAAGGAGACAAATTCCGTTTAGATTTCTCCTGTTGGTGGCGACTAATGCTGGTTGTTGTTGTTGTTCATTGGGTATTTTCATCTTCTCTGTCTTCTCTGTGTTCATCTGAAGTCCTACCATCTCTGCCTTTTACCGACTGAAGGTCTTGAAGTTTGTGCGATACTAAGCACTGATGATTCGCAAAGTTCAGATCTTCTACAGTCTATTTGTCGGTCCAGCGTACTCTCATCTTCTCCCTTTCCACAGACTACAGCATCATCCAGTCAGCCACTGTTAAGCAGACCATCAGTGATAGTAAACAAATTTATCCTACCCCTGCTTTCACTTCACACGATTCACTGCCTCAGTTACTATACACAGTTGTAGTAAAATGCCATTAAACGCTAATTGAGAATATACGTTCCATAAAAATGCACTTCTGTCCTCAAGTAATTGATCCGCTTAAACAATTACTATTCGTCAATATAACTTATATCAATAGAACATTTTCAGATGCTTCATTTTTTAATTACTTTAATTGTGAAGTAACTGTAGAGCTATTAAAAAAAAAGAATATCTCATAATACTTATTCTATGGATGTTTTTTTTCCCTTTAAAAACAATAAAGCTCATATGGAAATTTATCGCTTTCATTAATCGAATTTTATTTACTATGTTTGGCAAACTTTATAACAGATAACTAAAATAAGCAAATCTTTGAGTGTTACTAACTGATATCCACTTGTATAGCAAAACCGAAAAATTAACACGTCACCAAGGCCCGAACTCAGATACCTCTTCAAGCTCCACAGCCTAGTTTGATTAGGAACATTACCAGACATTGTGATGCAGACATATTTAGATGACCAATAGAACAAATAAGACGAAACCATTTGATTCGATTCCACTTATAATGAACTGTTAGATGTTTTAACAATATACATGTCAAGATTTTGCAATCCTTTGATGATAGTTCATCAACCAACGAAAAAATTGATTAAATAATCCTTATGGATTATTTATTATTATTATTGTATCCTTTAATTCCTACAGGAACATAGGGCTTCAGCCGTGTGTCCCCATTGCGTTCGGTACTCTGCTGGAGTCTTCACCTGGCTGCAAGTCTGCCCACACGTTTTAATCTCCTCTTCACATGGCCTCCTCCAAGTCACCCTTGCACTGACGACCAACTCGCCGCTTCCCTTTAGGGTTCCACTCAAGGGCTTGTCTAGTGATGTCACTTGCTGGGTTGTTTCCTCAGAGTATGGCCAGCCAATCCATCTCCATTTCTTCCTGCCTATTTGTTTCACAATCGGTTCCTGGTTGGTTCGCTCTCAGAGATCCGTGTTGCAGATCTTTTCTGGCTGGCCATCTGATCTTGAGTATTGAGCGAAGACAGATGTTGATGAAGGTCTGTAGTTTGTTTGAGATGCTCTTAATGACGCACTGGCCAAGTCTCTGATCCGTATAGTAGCACTGACTTCACATTGGAGTTGAAAATTCAGATCTTATTTTTGATGCTGAGTGCTGCTGACCTCCACACAGACTTGATAGTAGTAAAAGCTTGTCTTGCTTTTCCGATTCTTGCTTTGATATCCTCGTCAGTTCCGTCCGCCTGTAGTTGAAACGATGCTTCCCAGGTCGGTAGGTAAAATAGGTTGTTTCTTTCAGGTTCCTCCCATTTATGCTGATTGTTGTCTGTTGTTGTTGTTGCTGTTGGTGGTGTTGCCCGGGAATCTTCATCACCTCTGTCTTCTCTATGTTCACCTGAAGGCCTATCTTTGAGGCTTCTTCTGCTAACTTGTTGCTTTTCGCTTGGATATCTTCCAGTTTGTGGGAAATCAGACATATATCATCGGCGAAGTCCAGATCCTCCAAGTTTTTGTGTGTGTCCATTTTATGCCTGTTTCCTCATTGCCCACTGTTTGTCGCATTATTCAGTCTACTGCAATCAAGAAAATCATTGGTGATAGTAGGCAGCCTTGTCTTACTCCTGTCCTCACTTCGAAGGATTCCATAAGTTTCCCATTGTGGATTACTTGGCATGCAGCATTGTCGTACAGCTGTTGGATGAGATGTATAATTGTCGGTGGCACCCCGTAGTAGCGAAGTAATTTCCAAATCACCTCTCGATCAAAGGCCTTTTCAAAGTCGATGAAATTGAGATAGAGAGGTGACTGCCATTCCAAACTTTGTTCAATGATTATCCGTAGTGTGGCGATCTGATCAATGCATGACTTGTTTCTCCTGAACCCAGCCTGTTCCGGTCGAAGTTTTTCATCCAGGGCATGTTTGATTCTCTCCAGGATGATGCGGCTTAGTATTTTGCTTGGGATGGACAGGAGCATAATTCCGCGCCAGTTCTTGCATTGACTTAAGTTTCCTTTCTTCGGTAGTTTGAATAAGTATCCTTTCTTCCAATCCCCGGGTACTTTGCCTTCTTTCCACACCTTCTCCAGTAGTGGCGTCATCAATCTTTATGGATGGAGGGAGAATATTTTTGAGAGACTTTTCATATCATGTTGTTTACCGCAAAGAATACAAAAGTTAAAACAAGAAGTCTGTATGCAGGTTTTTTGACGTAACAACCCAGAACCCTTAATCCTTTTTCTGCTTACAATGACTTTTCCCTTAGAAATTATTCGCTGTTCCAGCGAAAACCAAATTCAACTTAAAAACGTGGGACGATGTTAGTATCACACTTTTTTCCAGCATACTACCCGAGTTTCAACGTAGAAAGTCTCACAAAATTTTAATATTTTAAGTTGTCCCGCTCCAATATGCACACAGAGGTAGAGAGAAGAAAGCGAAAAACTTTGGAGGAGCTACAACCAGCAGAAATGTACGCTAGAAATAATCATCATATAGAAAAACATGAGAATTTAATAGATCCAGGACTTTACAAACAAACAGTGAATGCACCTGAACAACTGAGAAAGGTTCAGAGTCATATCACTAACAGTCTTCAACCACTAATTCTTAACACCTCGTGGACCACAACCATTCAGTTCACACCTCGCTTCATGGCTAAAACCCGCAGTTAAAGTCATATTTTTGTTTGGATTACCCTTATTCTTTTTCAAACTAATCCTGTGCCCTCTAAGACTGCTCGACGAGGGAGGTGATGGTTCAGCATGTATGACAGTCAAATAGCTACAATGAAAGTAAAACAAAAGTAGGCGTATTTCATAATCTTTTCAATTTTTATGGCAGAAAGAGCCTATAAAACTAAAATGAAGTCAGTGAACTAACTCATTAAGCTAATAAGGTTATTTTCAAATTTGCATAAAGTGTGAACAATTTTCACCACGAAAAAATTTGCAAGTGAAATTAATATGAGTGGTTATTAATCTCTTCATGACCTTATTTGGACATATCGAAGTCATTCGAAGCACGTTTCGGCGGTGTTTTAAAAATCATTCAATCAACCAATTTTGTGAATGAGAGAGATTAATTTTGTATAACACGAGAAAATGAAAATGCTATTCGTGATTACTTCAAGGTGCACTTCACTTCCGTCCCTTGTTTTCATTTCGAAATTCATCCAACTGGATGCTTCCAATAGGAAATGTCTTTGTAAAACAAATACACCCACAAAATCAAATGAAACACAACTTCACCAGGAATTTGATTTTTAATTAATTTTTTTAATTTTAATAAACTTACTGTCCTTTGAAAAACGCCACATAAAATATTGATGAATAGAAATTGACAAATTGAAAAAGGAAAACCTTAAAGATTAACTGATTGTCGAATTCACTTTGAGTTCTGTGCATTTCTGAAACATTAAGATGAAGACAATGAAAGATTTTCGTAGTTAGTCTTATTATGGTGTATTATTTTAGACAATGAATGAATTTATCAAATACTACTTTCTTTATTTGTTGGGTTTGTTTCAGATTATCCCAAGTAATTGTTTTGTTATACTTTATCCTACTTATGAGTAGTTTAAATTTATTCGCAAATATATTTTCAAGTGTTGGATTAGATTTGTATATACGAGTTTGACCACAGATTGATATCAGTTAGAGTGCCTTTGAAAACCAGGGATCACTGTACAGCTAGGAGTGTATACAGCCAATGAATCCCCAAAATGGGATGAAGCAGTTGTACAGTACTCCCTTGTTTTCACTGGTTCCTTAACTGATCTCAATCTATGGTCAAACTCGTAAATATATGCTTTTGGTTGATTGTTTTGCAAACATAAGCGCTCAACAATTCTAAGCCATTTTCTATCATCCATCTAAGGTTCTGTATTCAAAACCGTTGACCTACTCCTTGAAAGACCGAAAAATATATCACTCTAACATTTTTCATACTAACCGGACTTTTTCATATGACCGATTTTTAAAATCATACAGTCATTTAAAATATATAAAGTTTTCGAACTTTCCAGTGAAAATTTTGTGACAACTAGTAAAATTTATTGAAGTCTAAGCTGTCGTCACTAGTAATAAGGTATAAAATGAGCAGGGTTATTAAAAGATTATATTTTAGCTGAATTATACCCAACATCTTAGTCCACATAATAAATATTTCTGAAAATAAGAAGATAAAAACATGAAACTGCGAACACATTTTTCAAGAATCTGTTTTCTAAAAAACAAGTAAATGCTACTTTGTAAGAATGCTCCACAGAAAATCAGTAGACAATAGTTGAATAAATTAGACAACATCCTTCTTAAATAATCCATCCTTTTGAAACTACTTTTCATTATGATATACAGTTTTATTACTAGTTGCTTGTAAGTGAAATATAATGGTACAGAAGTTCTGTAACTTCCCATTTAACTTTAGCGTAGATTATTTACTGTGACAGGAGTAGGGACATTCATGGCATTTGCCTTTTTCAGTTGAATATAATACGCATTGAACTGAAAAACTTTTCAGCGCTGATAGTGATTGGCATTTCTTACAATATACTCCATCCGAAAGATGCAGCTAATTGTATTAATGTTTACTTGAAACTGAATACTAGTGTTTAGGTGAGACTATAAGACTGTGAATCAGTTAGTGAATTTCTGAATACATGCTTTCTATTATGGCTCGGAAATCAGTCTTATGCTAAGAGATTTCTCAGTCAAGAAGAAATACTGGGATCGTCCGGATAGTGGGAAACTTATTTTTTTAATACAAATCAGGGATATTTCAAAAACGTGTATTATTTCACTTGATATGAGTATCGGAGACTCGAATTAAGTGATCCACTCTCGTGCCTTAAACTGTCTTATCTTTACGCTTGAGTCTTTCTTTGTGTTGCCAATACTTTAAAGCAAGCTATTTTAGCGGATTAAATTTTTAAACGATGTTAAGCTATACGTGTGATTCAAACTTTTCGAACAAATTAATATTAAGCAGCAAATGCACCCTTGAGAAAACCTAGTAACGTTCAACTGATGCCTCATATATTCGTTACAACTAAACTTTTAAACCTAATACAAATGATTTTTTACCATTACTGCCGGTCAGTTTTATCAAATATATTTACTATATTTCAAATGATTCACCAGTTTCTCAGGCAATCTAGATCCCACGTATAAAACTAACATAACATAGACTATCAAAGGATTGTGAAGTTAAACATTTGTAAAAAATTATATTTATAAAACCTCAGCGATATTGAAATGAGTAATTACAACGTTTCGTTCGGCAATTTGGTCCGAACTTCTTCAGGGAAATTAATCGTAATTAACATAACAGAGGTTTATATATAAAAGGAACATCACTTGTTTTTAAAAACTTTGTCCAATCATGAGTCATTCAACAAGTATAATAAACAAAATTTTATGAGCTGTGATCAAAATTTGACCTCGGATTTACAAATATTGGTTTATGTTTGTTAAACACTTTAAACAGAGTGTGTATGTGTGTGTGGGTGAACAGTTGTAAAACATTTCTTAACGTCTCCATAAGAAGACATGGACAGTCGAGAATTTTGACCAAGTATTAATAATTAGTGATAAATATCCATTTTTTATTTATTAATAAAGATTTCCTATGCATCGAATAATATCCCTGAAGAAGTTCGGACCAGATTGCCGAACGAAACGTTGGAATTACTCATTTCAATCTCTCTGAGATTTAACAAATGTCTACTTCTCAGTCGGCGCCCAAATATTACAGAACTATTCCGTCAAATCTTGACGACAGTTCATTTGGATTGTGAAGTTACATTTTTGCAAGACAGTCTAACTGAAATTGCTAGCAAACAGGAAATAAGTTAATACTAGGGATCATTTTACTAATGCTAAAAATATCATTTATGGAGAACGCTTAAAACACTTACCCCAATGAGTCATTTTATACGCCAGTGTTTCGTAAACTTTGCCAAGACACATAATTAAGATTAGATTTACAACAGCTGCTGAAAGTGTTGCGTATATTTCAGCATTAGAACGTAACAGTTTGTTTTGAAATAATGGAATTTTTATTAAGAAACGATAAATAATTACAGCAACTATGAACACCAGTACGAGCATTACCTAAATTTCAAAATATAAAAAGAAAATTTTTAAAAGTGTGCAATTGTCAGCCTATACCATAAGCATAGACAGTGCATTAACTACTCGAGAGATTGTGACTTCATACAGAATAAGAGATCACTTATTATCTGTAAAACCGATTATGACACTAACAGTTATTTTTGTAGCAGAAAATGAGCACAAATATGAACAGAAATCAAAGTGATATTAGCGTTTGAATTAAGCGGAATAGTTTATGCACTATTTTATGCTATCCAAGACATTATTATCATTGTTCCCTTGGGTTCCGAATGGAACATAAGGCTTCAACAATGCATCTCAACTTTGTCTTATCTTCTGCAGTCCTCCTTATCTGGGTCCACGATCTCCTCCATGTCACCGTCGAAGCGACGACCTACTCATCTCTTCCCATTTGCATTCCATTCGAGGGACTGGCGCTCTATGTCATTCGATGGTCCCCTCAATGTATGCCCGATCAATCCATCTCCATTTTCTCCTACATATTTGTTCAGTGATAGGCTCTTGGTTGGTTTGTTCCCAGCCAGAGTTTCTTGTCACTAATTCTTTCTGGCCGACCATGCGATCTTCATTATGCAACCAGCAAAGGCAACTGTTGATAAAGGTCTGAAACCTGTTGGGTTTGCCTTTCATGACACGCAGTGCAAGTTTCTGACCAGTATAGAAGCAGTGATATACTTCACATTTGTGTTGAAGATATGAATCTTGTTTCTTATGCTGGCTGAGTGCAGAATATTTCCAAATTGGTTTCAGGTTGATGAAGGCGTATCTTGACTTCCCGATTCTGGCTGGCTGGCTTTGACATCTTCATCCGTTCCAACTGCCTATGGTTGAAACTATGTTTCCTAGATAAGTGAAGGAAGTAACCCCTGTTAAATCTCTCCTGTCGATGGTTACCTTCATCACCTCCGTCTTCTCTATGTTCACCTGAAGTTCTGTCTTTGTTGGCTGCTTCTTCAGCCAGTTTGTTGGTTTTCGCCTGCACGTCTTCCAGCTTATGTGACATTAAACATAAATAATCTGCGAAATTCAGATCTTCTATAATCTTCTTATCCACCTTCCAGCGTATTCCTATCTTCTCACTCACAGTGCACAGTCTGACGCATAATGTAGTCCACCATAATTAAGAATATCAGCGGTGATAATGGGTAGCCAGCCTTGTCTTACTCCTGTATGCACTTTGAACGTCTCGCTGAGTTTTCCGCTGTGGACCACCTGACATGTGCTACTGTCATATAGCTGTTACCTAAGCTATGAGGACTGTTAACATCAGAAATTTATAAAATGTGGGTAAAGGCAGTGCACCCTTAAGCTTCCGTCAAAGCAACCCATTTAATACTGACTTTCCAAATGGTGTATTAAGTGATATAAGGGAATGAAACCATCAAGATATCTTTTGTACAATAGAATTGACCTCTTTATCGACAGCAGAATAGAATGTCAGCAGATAACTGTTACCCGTAAAATATCTTAGGTCATTGAATACAAATACTCGTAGAATGCTTGTAAGATTAGTAGGAAACATTTACACATAGAAGGGAAAACGTGTGAATTTGCACCGAAGAAATATACTATTAAGTAATCAGATAGAATCACGAATACTTGAATTAACGCAAGCCTACTTTAACTCCGTACTGGATAATTCATAAGAAACATGATATATAACTTTAGACGTCGACAACTTCTCTTAACATCGACAAATAGAAGAATGAGGGTTTTCTAAAGCAAGGCGATATTTTTTAAACAAAGAATAAGTACAGTGTTGAAATAACGATGAAAAAATAATTATACCGATGATTAGTTTTAAATGAGTTAAGACAAACTCCCCGAAGCCCATTGTTAGCTAACACCAATTATGAATATCCTAACTGTTTTAATAGAGGGAAGTTATTCACTTGAAATTAGTTGTTTGATGGCAGCTAGCAGTGGAATCTAGGATGCGTGTTTCGCCCGATTCAGGCTTCATCACTGCATATACTTGCACCTAGATGACTGATGATGTTCTTACTGAAAAAGAATGACAGCAATCACCGTTTCAAATACCAAAGCGTTACCTAATATGTCATGAGAACCACCTCTTGTTCAGCGAGTATAACTTGAAGTTACTTATTTCCATGATGTGTCTGACCGAGAAAAATGAGGTATATCAACGGGAAATTACGAACATGATTGCATAAGTTACTCAACTTTTCAAATTTAACTTAATGCAAATGAATTTATAACTAAGTTTGGAAAATTAAAGCTTGTTTAACTATTAGTTCAGTTATATGTTATTTAATACGGTTTCTTATAAAATACCCACTAGGTGTTTCTTTTAAGGGCAAGTGAACTTCACAGCTGTCAGTTTACTTCCATGTAAAGTAACAGCTTATTTTTATGGAAAATAATCTGCCTACTTAAAATAGTATAACTTTTTACAGTAAATTTCATTAAACGGTGGTAAGTTGAGTAAGAAATTGGTCATTGATTTTTGTGAAAAACAGGTGCACTCAAATAATATCAATATTGAAGACATTTTTGGTGCACTAAATGGGAAATACTCAAACACACTGAGATGAAGGCAGTGAAAAGTGCTCACAACTTAATAAAAAAATAACCTTAGTCTATTTTTAGAATTATCGAAGGTTATTATGTCGATAACAACATCAGTGAAGTTAGGGAATATAAAATCAACACAAATGTTTTTAATGTACAAGTTAATGATCCATAATTAGAGTCTAAACATTTTCCTATGCGGAGTAAATTACTGGTTGTTGACTTTACTGAAGCATTTACCTGTCTGTGTAAAATAGTCAATGCGTTCAGACGATCTGATATCATAGAATCAGAAAGAATAAAAATAAAAATAGTTCGATAACTTGACTAATTTAATTCTTATCCTCATTGAGATGTTTTCTCAAAAATTATTTGCTTACGAATAAAATCTAATCAATGTGTAATAACATAAACACCATCTGTCATGTCTGTTACGCTTCCTTTAGATTTTCGCTTAATTAGGTTTTCAAGAACAGATATTTCGTAAATATAGGGAGAAATATAACGTATAATGATAACGACACATAGTTTGTCAACTAAATGTCAGTGACTAGCGAGAACATTGGCGGTGACACACGGATTAACCTTCATTAAAAATCAGTTTTTCTTTTAATGAGATCCAGGGATGCAAAACAGATGGTGGCCACTTGCTGATAACTCCAGCTACCGAAAGCCTCGATTAATATATCGGATATAGTTCCTCTTGTTCTGTTTATTTAAATCTAGCAAAGTATGACCTCTATTAGTATTGTTTACTCTGGCAAGTATTTAAAACCTTTACAACCTACTGATTCGCAAGTTTCTACTAGATGTGAGAAGAAGCATTATCCTCGATGGCACCTTATCCCAACCCATGAGATAACCGTTCCTGAGTGGTGTCCTTCGTTCACAAAATGTGCCCCTGAACTTTTTATTTATAGAAGAAGACAGAGAAGAGATATTATAATGGATTAGTTTGCAATTCAGGTCAGACAGAACTGTTTCACACTATCTGCTGTCAATTTATCCTTTGTTTGAAGATCCTGGATGGAGAGAAAATACCACGCAATAAACTCTGCTGAAAATGCTGTACATTATGTAAACATTGTCCAGAATCAAGCTACTAATAATTTTTTTTAATAATAATCACTTTATTCCACAACAATAACAATTTACAGCATGGAATTTTCAGCGTTTCATTTTACATATTGCATTGGTTTAGCTCTTTTTATAATTATATAAATGTATGAAATGTTAAAATTATTGACAATTAATGGGAAAAAATAAAAACCCCCAACAAAATCACACCATTTCTAGGTGATAGTGAATAATAAATAAATAATATAACAAATCACACATGCAATAATATGCATCATTACATTTTATAGTTTAGTTAATGATTTAAAAGTTGTAAAAGTTCTTTTCTGATATTTGTCTCTTCACACAACACTCGTGCCAAATATGGTACGGTCGAATTTTTATATTTTGTAGTACGAGCATAAATGTTTATGAAATTTCTTCTGGTCTTACCCGTAGAGATACAAGGAAACAAATGTGAATAAAGAGGATGTTCACTATCAGACAAGATAACTTTAGCTAAGTGTTTACAAGAATTCATGTGCGTATTGACAACAGTGTCGGTTAGTTGAGTCAAAGGGATAGCACTGACCCTACTTACAGCCTTCAATGTACTTCGTAGTATTATGTGGTCTTTCTTGAGTAGCCCAGGGAAGAATAATGGAGAACAATAAAAATGATGGGCGAAACACATGAATTAATAAATTGTATGAGAAGAGATTGGGTTATACCTGAGAGCCTCAACTTCTTTATGTAATAAGTCAGACAGAAAATCTTTTTAGAAACTATAAGAATATGAGACGACCAGCAAAGGTTTGAAGAGAAACTAATGCCAAGATAAGAAACACTTGACTTACTCTCTACTATTGTTATTATCATTAACACCTTTTAGAAAGTCATATAAATGACGGGGTGGGTACAAATGTTTACGTTAAGTTGCTTTAGTCCTATTGACTTTATTTATCTCTAAATCGCTCTAAAAACTTCTGGAAAGATTACGATATGAGTGCAGTAGATTTTCTTACTGTGTTAAATGCAATCCATAAAAATTCGTTAGTTCCGATGATGGTTTTGATAGTATTCAGCTGATTACATGGATAGAGCCAGTTAATAACTCATTGTTCAAAATTTCAACCACCTTCATCTTGATATGATCTTTCACCCATGTGTATCTTAAGCTCTCTGTTGAATTTTAACATATCAGTGTATACTAGAGGAGGCATAGAATAGTGACAACTGGCTTTTGGTGTCATAATATTTCGACTTAACAATACGAAAAGGGTGAGTAATAGTTCAATATGCGGCTGTGAGTCCATGCTACTTGTTTGTCACCGCATAAACTAACTCCTGCCTTTTTCAGTGTACAAATAAAATTAATCCTCAACTTAAACAGCGTTTTCAAATAACATTACAGGATGTGCTACTGACAAGATTAGTAAGTAGTCTGTGAATATAGACATAAATATGTATATCATGCTCAAGAATTATCGAATAGTGAAGAGATGGATTTAATGGCGAAGAGAAGACGCAAATGATGTTTGTGAAACAAAATATAGAAACATGAAAGGAGACAAAGAAAGACAATACGGAAGACAAAAGTAGCACAATACCGGAGATATGTGAAAATTGTGATTCTAATGTGTGGTAGACGGATTCTGTCTACATCTTTATATCGAGTTGCCCAAAAATGATTTCGCCACCGAGTACTCTTGTGTTCTGCCGCTACAACATGACATCATTTAAACGTAAATGATACCTAAGTGGGACTGAAATTTATATAAATGCTTCAGGGACACAGAAGATCCAAACAGAAGAATAAGAGTTGGGAATCCATAGTGTCACGAATCGTAACATGCTTCAATCGAAAATGTCAATGTTTCCAGCTGAATGTTTTACAATCTTGGAAATCATAAAATACAAACCTAATGCAAGACTTTCTTCAGTTATTTCCAAAATGATGGCTGAATCTTGTGTTTGTCAATGCCTTGAGAAAATATAGTTTCTTCCATCTCGTAAACATTTTTCAACATCGTATTACACTTCTTAGAGACAAATCTATTAATGCACTGATTTTAAACGTTTGTGACAATATTTGATGACTTCAGACTTGAAACAGGACAATATTTATTGAAATCCACTGATTAGATATGGAATGTAGTCATTGAGCTGTATTTCATTATAGCTTTATGCTGAACATTACAAATTGGCCTTAAGCTTTCCGCCGATTTAGAATTTATGCATATCAGTCCATAGTATTAAGGATCATTCAGAGAAAAATGCCCATTTCCCCATAAAATCAAATCTGTATAGCCTAGTTTTGACATCAGACACTTCACAAGAAATCCATTCAAATCGTTGTTGACCAAGTGAAAATTAAATTATAAATGCAAACTCAACATTCATTTGTAAGATCCAGATTATACACTTTCATCTTCAAGGATATGACCTGAATTCGTTGAAAGATCAATTCTTATATATAACTAGTTTAACCTTGACCTATCAGATAATATATACATATACATTCATTAAATAACATTTGAACGGATAATTCTCTGAAAAAAGAAAATGAATATCTGCACGGAAATGAGAAGCGGAGTGCATGAAATCTTAAGGTTTAGGCTTTATGAAACTAAAATCCATCATTCCATAATAAATGAATACTGAATACATATGAATAATACAATGGAAATGACCAGAAAATTAATTTCACTGTAAACCATATTTTACTGGAGAATTATAACAGCAATTTTATGCGTATAGTACAAAATTAATTAACAAAGAATAGATAATGTTATGTAGATGGGTAAATTTCACCTACCATTAACAGGACACATATCAAACCGGCAACAATACGAGCTACACGAGCTCTAGTCGGAAAATACGGTTCAAGTACATCAGTTATCGGATTCTTTGCATATTGAGTGCATTGTGCAGAATATTGTGGACGTGGGCGTTCTTCTTCTATTTCATAATCTAATACATCCCATCGATGAGCTAATTTGGCATTTTTACGTTTCCAATATTCTAGAAATGTTACACCTTTAAAAACAATGAGAGGATTTAATCAGATTTCATTGAAAAAATACCTAATATTTTGTGTGGAGGTCATTAAAAGTAGCCACAAAGTTTCACGGTGTATTAGGCAAAAAGAAGCAGCTTTATGCTTGTGTTAAGTAAAGTGGTGTTAAACAATAGCTCACAATGTTTACGGATAACTTTTCGTAGTGCATATGTCAACTTCTATTTTCTGAGATTACAAACTTGTGATGCATGCTTTATTTCTTCAGGTTGGCTATCATCAGCCATGGACTGTCACTTTTGGTTACAGAATTTATGTCGTGAATTGGTAGAAGTTAGAATTCAAGGTCCATTGGATCCGTTCCCAGCGGCTCAATGATCTAAGAGCTCACCTTGGGACCAAAATTTCCTGGGTTCGAAGCCCGGTGGGTGCGTACCGCTAGAGAGTCCCAAACTAGAACGAAACAGCTGTCCGGTACTCTCAGGTTTTCCAGTAGTTCTCTAACTGATGTCAGTTCATGATGAAATCCTCCATGCAATCAAAGAATTTATTGTCAAGACTTCACATTGCGAATTACCAGAAGTATTTGGTTTAGTGCACTAGGTGAACTCTAAGAGGAAACACAACTGACGTTATCTGTTATAAGCTGATTGCAGTTACAACATGTGTAGAATAATCGACTGATTTCTATATGGTGTGTGGGGTTTTTCAAATAGTATTTATTTAATTTTATATTCAATAGTCACAGAGCATATAATGGAAGTAAACGTTTTACCTCAAGTTCATCGATTCTCAAAAGGTCTTAGATACCGTCAACCGAAAAGTAATCTGGAAACTGTTTCAACACTAAGGAGTACCCAAAACTGTGAATAACCCCATTAAACAACCAAGTGATCATGCCATATGTAAAGTGACGTCAAGTGAAAACTCAGCGAAGCGTTTGAAGTGAGAACAGGAGTAAGATAAGGCTAGTTGCTGCCACCGAATATACTCTTGATTGTGGTAGACCATGAGGAGCGAGAAGACAGACATTTGGGAAACCGACAAGAAGATACTGGAAGATTTGGACTCCGCGGGTGGCTTATCTCTAATGTCATACAAATTTCAAGCAAAAACCAACAAGCTGGCAGAAGAAGCACAGAAAACAGGACTTCAAGCGAAGATGCCTAACTCGCAACAACAAGCACTAATCACCATCAACGGGAGAAATCTAAAGACAGCATTGCTTCAAATACAAGTGGCCATACATATGAAAATTTCAAAGATAAGGTCGCAAAGTCAAGACAGACCTTCATTCCCCTGAAACCTTTTTGGTAATCTACTGTACTAAACTTAAGAAACAAGATCCGGATCTTCAACACTCATGTCAGATCACTGCTTCTATATGTTCAAGGATGAGATTATCAAGGACGGCTGGGACATGAAAAGTAAGACAGGCGTTCATCACTCCGAAATTGGTATGGAGATCTTCAAAGCTTAGCACAAGGAATTAGATTCGAGTTTTACACACTTCTGTCCATTAAGTGATACTAATATACTACAGACTTGATGAACGCTTCACGGGAAGAATTTCCAACAGACTATCGCAGACTTTTATCACTATCCGCCTTCTCTGGCTTAATACTGAAGGTCAGACAACCAGCTGGAAAGGATAAGAGACAAGGAGTTCTGATAGACAACGAATCAACCAAGAATCTATCTCTTAACCAATATACAAAGAAAAATGGAGGTGAGTTAGAAACACTTTGAGAAAACCTCTGGGGGGGGGCATCACGCACCAGGGTTTCAAGTGTAAACCGGTTGAGAAACGGTGAGTTGGGCGTCCAATGGTTACATGAATGATATACTGAGAGGAGGAAGTGGAAATTAAAACGAATATAGTGTGAAATGGCGATAGGCTACTCGGAATTCATAGGAGTAATAATATTCTTAGTTTTATTTATTCAGCCATAGATGTTACCTCATTTCCAATAGAATTAAGAGTTTTCTTTAGAAATTAAACTTATATACATAATACCAGCTAATTGATAGGCAGTTAGACTCCAGCAGACATACCTGTCATAGCTATGACATCCATATTCACTATTAACACAACAGTAGAATCTAAGGTATTGGGTAAACTTAAAGTAATCAGGACTCATTGTTGGGAATAAATAATTTCTTTTCATATATCATGTTAAAATATATGTGCAAGTAGTAGTTTTATAACCATTGTATCAGATAATAAGACAGTCTGTAAACTCATTCTCGTTTCATATTAATTACAGCATAGGCATTATGTATTTTATTTTTTTTAAATATCCACATGACTTTGTCAAATGGCCAGTTTATGTTCAATCTTATGCCTGACACCATTATGACTTATCTGGTTATTTTACGTCCCCTGATTGTTTTTTACTTGGACATTTGTAATTATGACATACACAACTAGTGACAGGTAATTACTTAACTATTCTATTTGAAAAAATATACATATACATATAAAATCAAATGACTACATAGGACAATAGTATATGACAGAAAGTTTAAACAATTGTATTTAAAAAATATGACGTAATAACTATTAGAACCCATGGTAAATATCTACTTCTCATGCGTTTTCGAGTCCGTCGTTAGTACCTGAATCATTAATACTGATATCACTACATAAAACTCTGTAACAGTGATAAGTAGTCAAACTAAACAAAGGAAATACAGAGGAAGTAAAATAATATTTTAAGGATGAAAAATATACTATTTAGGTGTTATCATACAAAGACTGATCCGCCTGTTTTAATATCAATCAGTCATCATTATATTAGCCCTAATCATTTCAGGTAGTGTCTAAAAAGATGGGATAGCTATGGGCAGTCCACTTAGCCCTGTTTTAGCAGGTATCTTCATGTCCAACCTTTAGAAAACAAAGTTGAAGCATGCAATTGACGAAACAACTTCCTACTGCCGATATGTCGATGACACATTTGCAGTGTACAACAATGAAAGTCATGCTTCCTACCTACTCAAATTATTCAACAACGCACATAGAAATATTGAATTTACTATGGAAAATGAAAATGATGGGAAGTTACATTTTCCCGACATTGTCATGCAACGCCTAGAAGATGGTAGTCTCCAGAGGTCTACATAGAATGGACAATGCCTACATTTTAATAGTTTTTGTCCAAATAACTATAGACGAGCACTAGTCAAGACTATATAATATAGAGCTAGGAGAATATGCTCTGCAGAGAAATTAGAGGAAGAATTTACGATTCTCGAAAAGATGTTGAAAAACAACGGTTATCCTCAAAGATTCATTAACAAATATGGAAGATTTAAAAATTTAAACATCAAACAAACCACAGTGGGATAAAAGCCTGTCTTCATTCAACTCAATTTGAAAGGTGCAAATACTGCAGCAATAGTCAACAGAAGATTGACTACGTCACTAATCAGAGACTATCCTGCAGCTAAGTTGGTTCCCGTCTATCCGATTTATCAAAATAAAATCTTATCTATAATGGAGTTATGCTCTACCACAGCGCCCAAATTTTTTACTTATATTGGATAACATGTTCTTCGGTGCAGTCAAAAGACGACAGATACCCTTCTCATGTTAACTCCAACTGCGAATAAAAATTTACGTGTATCTGCGAGAGCGGTTACATTGGGAGAACAGAAACAAGGCCACACCTGTGATTTCCTGAATATGTACCAAAAAGCCTAACTCTCAAGAGAACAAAGGCTTTTTATAAGACCATTGCGGGACATCTCCTTCACATGGATCGTGAGGTGGAAGTCTCAAATTCCTTTGAAATTATCAACAGACAAAAAAGCTCAATTCTCCTCAAGTTTGCTGAGGCAATCTCTATCATCAAACGCCTGAAACCTGATTTATGTGTTTAGAGAGTAGCAGTTATCAGTGTTTCCTTCCCCTGGTAACTGGATGTCTTTATTCACTCTTTCATTTGATAACGTAATCTCCGACTTTAACCTCACCCTCTTTTAATATAATGTAATTTGGCTTGTCTCTAGTTTCTGTGATTTGAGTTGAACTCGGTACATTGTTACTTAATCCATTAGTCACTCATCCTCTTACGTACTTCTTGTCTTTATTACGTAACTCCTTTGCCATTGTATGCATACATTTATTTGTTTAAACTTGAACTGCCTGTGTAAAAACTATATAAGTGTAATTTTCTGAACACTGTTCACTAATTGCAGAAACTCCTGTCAACTGACATCACATAAAATTTCCTAGTATGCTAAAACTTTTCTGTACATTAACTTAATAATTTAATTAGGCTGTATGGAGCCAATGAGAAGCCAACGAAATAAACAATGATGATACCATATTATCCTGCAAAAAAAGTTGTTCTTGCTTCATTCAGAAAAAGAAATTAGATGGGATAGTTATAAATCAATAGTTCTTATCTAAAAAATTCTCTATCTGCAAATTGTTTTCTTGGTTCTTAGATAAGGGAATATTAATAATTAATTTATCTATGACAGTCAGAACCGAAACACAAGTCTATGTGCATCATAAAAGGTGATAAATGTCACACAAACTATACTTGAACAGGTTTCTTTTATTAAGTAATATCTTAGTCAGTCTAACTATCACTTGATTACAGACTTTCCCTTTTCATAAAAATTAGGTTGTTCGAGAGAAAAACTCAGATATTTTGTAATCTGAATGTCTGAACAGGCATTAGAATTGTTAGGATGATTAAGTCCAAATGAATTATGTTTAAGAATAATATTTCAGAGGTCACTAAGTGGAAAGTTTGGTTTCGATCCCTACTCCTTTTCTACAGCTTTGAGGATTCTTGTACACTTACAACCCTCTGAATTCAAATGTCTTGACCATATGCCTTATATACTCACCTTAATTTAGTGGCATAACACCAGAGTATAGTTGGTGATTTGTTAGTATCCCTATCGATAGACACCACACATAGTTGAATCATTTGATGTGGTGGTGTTCTCTGAGCTGGATAGTTAATCTGCGAAGCTTTCACTGCCCTAGTAAGCAACATCTTCAGAGCATATATTGTTGAGTTAAATTACTCAACAACGAAAGAAGGTAAAACCAACATCATCTACAAAATAAATTGTAACAACTGAGAAAAACAATACATTGGCAAAAGTGGACGTCTCCTTTGTCTTCGTATCCATGAACATAAGGTAGCCGTCAAAAGACATGACACCCACTCCCTCATATCACTACATACAGACAACCACGGAAAACAATTCGACTGAGACAATCAACGTTCAAATATTAGACAGAGGAAACACCAAGAATGCTAGAGAATATTTAGAAGGCTGGTATTCCAGTGAATCGTCAGTCAATAGACACATCGAGATAGACAAAATTTACCAACCGATAAGAAGGAATTCTCACACACACAGGGTCAAAGTTCAAGTCAAGCAAGCAATCAGTTCCAATACGAGTAGCGTAGAAGGTGTGAAAATACACAAAAGCAACCAATCACGTTCAAGGCCACGCACCAGGAGAGATGACTAATAAACTCGTGGAGAAATCTAAAAGCTCACTTCAAATTGAAGTATGCACTGAAGATGTTGTCTAGTAGGGCAATGAAAGCTTCGCAAATTAACTATCCAGCTCAGAGAACGTAACCACATCAAAATCATCCACCTGAGCTACAAAGCTTCTCTATCATATATATACTTGAATGAATAGATTATTCTTACTTGGCTGTTTGTCATCTGATCAAACGTACAGGTTTTTATGCATTTACCTACTATTATAGTTTATTCCTGTATATGCCAAAATGACTACTTTGTACTCTCATTACATAGTTATGTCCAGTATGTTTGATGAAGTATACCTTTCATTTACCTGAATATTACTCTTTTAGGGTCAATCATCCTCAATATTGTTTAGCCTTATTTTAGTTGGTTGGTTTTTGAATATTTTTGTTACATGAAAATTTATGAAACTTCATCACAACTATTTGTTTTGTGACCCTTGAAGTTTTGACTTAGTCAATTAACACATCGGTCATAAACGCTAAAATAACATAAAATAACTGTAGTTCTGATTTTGACCCTCAAGTCTTCCCTTCTATAATCTTTATGTATCAATTCTAGAAATTCGTCAATTAAATCGTTTCATACTGCAAACTCTGCTCTACAAGCAAAAAGAAAATGATGTGTGTTGTGATCAATATTCACAGAGTAAGAAATAGATTTGCTTACCCCAGATTACCATAAATATAGCATAGAATACTGAGCCTGGATGGTCGAATAAATAAGAAACTTTTAAGTATAAGCATAACTCGCGTAAATTCCAATACCGACATCCATGCTTTATATCACATGTTGGACACATGATTGTATCCTGTTCACAAGCTTCTTTCCTGTGTTTGGAGAGTAAGAAGTGAAGAAAACAAGATGAAAATTTAGAATCACTTCTATGTGGTCCTTTTATTTTTATTTTTTAATGGGAAACACTAATAAATGTTAACCGAGAGACAGACCACCGTCGATCCCCGGCCGACGCACTCCTTTGTGCGTCGGTGGAACAGCGGTTAGGACACTCGCCGACCATGCACATGGTCCGAGGTTCGATCCCCGGCCGACGCACTCCTTTACCTCGCTAAGCCAGAAATAATGCTGGTGAAGAGGAAAGGTTGGGCATGAGGCTAGCAACTCCATCCTGTAAAAATAATCACCACTGCTACAGAAACTTCAAGCCACTAGCTTGAAGCCCTATGTTCCACTGGGGAACGTGAAGGAGAAAAAAAGAGACAGACCACATTATCATAAACATAATGCTGCATTCGACTAAGCGAACTATTCTGACAGCAAATGAAATGCTATTATTAGAGTACACTTATGGTCTGTAAACCAGCTGTTTTTACTGAATCCTTAAGACCTGATATTTCAGAAAATAAGTTATACTAGAGATAACTGGAAATTATTTTCCAGATTTCCTGACGATGTGTAAACACATCAGTTCATCATAAGGCATAGTGTGTGATGACCTGTAAGACGCTACGCTTTTAATATATAACCGATTACATCCTGTTAGAAAAGAGTCATTAGTGTGAGTAAGAAACCGTATTCCTAATAACCTCATTTTTATGCATAACACGAAGCATAAACGTTTGTTCAATCACTTATGACACTAGTCATTTCAAAATTGGAGGGTAAATGCAATTGGAAACCTTTTCATGAAATGTAATCCCCTCCAACGGAATTTTCGCCCCCAATGTATGTTTTTGCGGAGTTATGTACTGTAATCTGTCATCATGTAGAGGAAACGTAGTGTCAAGCATGGAGGCACAACAGTGGAAAGGATTCATTACTATCCTCTTACTGTCAAGTTTTATGAACCATAGGCAGTTACTGTCTACAAGAGAAATGTTTTATACTTGTGAACTTTAAAATTAACTTTACTGAAAATTTAATTTTCAGCAGGAAACCTGCTCTTTAACTGTGACGATTTGACAGTCATCTGAATGTGATTTGTTTGCATTTTGAAATACTGATATGTTGTGATTACAAACGTAATTCAGGATGTTCTTGTAGCTGTAAATAATTCCCCAAAATTATTGACCACTGCACTCATCACTGAACATTGGATGCTGACCCTCACTGTTTAAGTCAACTTGTTTAGCTGGAGGCTTCCAGTCAAGCATCCACGCCATTTGGTACTCCGTCGTGTCACCTTCATGCAAGATCCCTAGCCAGCTAAGCAATCATCTTGCACTCCAATTTGGTCCCGAAATATATCTCAAGTCAAGGGTGTTAGATCTTGCGTTAGTATACTTCGTACTCTCCGTGTACGTCAATACCGCCAGCCTCTAAATTCACTTATGTTTCCATTAATATCATTCAGAATGCTTACTAACTTCATTTGGGGCTGTTTCTTCTTTTAATTTCAACATCTTGTTTTCGGAATATTGTGTTGAGTTTAAGACAACCTTATGAGGAAGAGATTTTATGCTAAATGTACAGGCCACAATTTGTTTTACTTCACTGTTGACGCATCTAAAAAATGCACTCAAATATAGGTATGAATGTGCATGAATGAACAGACATATAATGCACTTAGATTATTCAAGTATTCTGGGTTGACTGTATTCAAAAAAATTCGACGACATCTTTTGAATGATATCATGTAAGCGTCATCACTAGAAGCCGACATGACAACAGAGACAGGGCATTTCGGTCCAACTTAATCAATCAACTTAAACAATAAGACTTTAAGTTTATTGAGAGTAACTAGTTTAACAGTTATTCTGTGTACGAATGGCCCAGCACCTATTTTACTGAAATTAACCAGCGTGTCACTAGACTATTCAGATACATTAGAATAAATGCGTCCAGATACTATTTCGCTCATAATCCTGTCTTCTGAATGCTGTTGTCGGTTTAAGTCGGTCCAAAGTAACTGAGAAAATACCAGATTACGAGTGAAGCAGTATATGGACACACTTATTTTAATGTGTTTGAATAGCCTAACATCAACCTCATACTTTAAGTCCCACTGACTAAAATTAACCGACATGTTACTAAGCTATTGCTCTATGTGACAGTTGAACGAGTTTGTACGATGATTATACCTATTAATAAATAGTTTCAGCTCTCATCATAATTTACTAGTAATCACCATAGGTTATGCACATAATTTTACATTTCTTTATGAGAGTCTCTTTCACTACTATCCTACAGTGCAATACTTCTCTTAAATAAATTTAAATGTATTTCTATCCGTCTTCCAATGTTTTCATATTTGCCATCTTGAAATCCCATACTAGTTTGTTTATTAGATATATCTCACAGTGAAACAGTATTATTAAATGGATGACGTGGTTTCGAACACAGTTTATTGTTCATAATCATATCAGTTATAATCACACGACTTCGAAACTTGAGTTTTATAGTTTTCTTTGTTTTCTCCTATTTGTCGTCGTTGGGGTAGTAGAATTTTCCAGATGTCCGGCTGGACAGGTGTTGAATCATTCCTGTTACACGTGTTTGCAGTTGATTCGATAAACAAAGCTTCCGTTATCAATCTCTCCCTCCACTCTGTTACGTTAGATTTTAAAACTGTCATCTTAAATCACCCTATTGTTTGGTTGTGTGTAACTGCATGTAGTAAGTGCTATAGCTGAACTATTCTCTAGATTTCTTATCTTATTCGGGTCAACCAATGTAGATTTTGCTAGGTTTTTATCTTCAGCTAGTCTGACTGCCCCTGTTCTACTACTTTGACCTATGTATTTTACCTGACAATCATTCGAGCAGGGTACTAGATAAACTAAGTTGTTTTGTTTTAATTGGCTACACAGGATTATTGTTCCACAGGAAATTATTGTAAGTAAATACTCCAAAAGGAACTCTTTTACTGAACATAAAACTGTGTGATATTTTTATCACTATGTCACGGATTTAAAATAATTCAACTTAAATTAACATAATGGTATCTAACACAACTGTGCGTCGGGGGTTCAGTGGCAGAACTCTTGCCAACCATGCATGTGGTCCGAAGTTCGATCCGCGACCGGTGCACTCCTAAGCACCGCTAAGCCGGTAGTAAGTCTTGTAAAAGGGGTGGTTGGGCGTGAGGTTAACCATCCCAAGCTGTAAAAATAAAACCACTGCTACCGGATCTTTAAAGCTGTAACTTGAAACCACATGTTCCACTGGGAACTTGAAGGAATAAAAATGTAATAATATCTAACAAGACTAATAGGGTTAACTAGTATAAAACAGATTTTCTTTTTTTATTAATATCATTAGTATGAATTATACGAGGACCTCAAAGACGGCATAGGTGATAACTCAAAGATGTCACAATCTGTGCACAGTTTTGGTGCACTGATACCAAAATGCAATACAGCATATGAAATAAATTTTAGGAGACAGCTGTTGTAAACAAAGTGGAAGTAAGCACTGTTTCAGACTTAATCAAGATTGGTAATTCATATACTCACAATATTTTGCCCTAGATATGTTAGTGTTTTAAATAACTATATAGGTGGATAATCATTGAAAGAAAGAAAGCTTTGCTACTAGGTTACGCAAAGCAGAAAATGCATGATTACACTAGAATGTAGAAGCTATGAATTAAACTTTGACGACTGAGTTCCAACTTTCCAGCTTCATTTATAATGGAATGATATACCATTTCTTCCCTATCTAAGTAGTAAACAGATAGTGCTTAACTCACAAAAGGTGTATAATATGACTCGATATCCCGGCAGATAATGGTCGAATGTTTCGAGTTTGATCACGGACTGATGTCAGTTAGAGAACCATTGAAAACCAGAGATTACTGAACAGCTGTTTCGTCCCAGTTTGGAACTCTTCATAAGTCGCAGGCCATTCAGCTCTGTCATCCAACTTAGTGGCCCAAGCGTTCCAACTTCTGCCGATTCATGAATTTAGTGGGAACACCAGACAATATCATCAGAGAGTATTTGTCCTCAATACCGACCAATTGGACCCCAATGGTCACTACTTCCCAGTCGAACTTCAGGCAACTTCGTCCTGAAGCCAGCCACTAGCGAGCACCAGATAAATTTTCAAGTATGATAAAACTTGAAACAAACTAACCCTTGAAAATCTAATGTTTGGAATAATAGGTGCTGGTTTCACGCCTTCTTGGTGAGAAGATCACTCACTCGAACTCATGAGTCTTCAGATGAAGAGTACGAAACAGAAAGTTATGTACATCCTAGACGTTACTGCTAGACACGGATAAGAGCAGTATTATTTTGTCATAATCCATGACAATACCGACTTGATTATGGTTAAAATTCCTAGTATTCCAAATAGAAATGATAATGGCATAAGTGGTTTAGACTTTAAATAACTTTCTCTGTTTGAGTAGGTAACAAAAGGAAGTATTCTGAAATACTAAAACAGGTCTGTTAGACACTTACACTGGAACGTAGTAATTCATAGTTGCAAGTCCGTAAATAAAAACAAAAATTCCAACCAAAGCAGCTGGAAGTAGCCAAGCTGTGTATAGACCTGAAAAGAGTACAAAAAAGAAATTAAGCGTTTTGTTCTGTTCATTAATTTAATATCACTGTCAATGGTATATATTCAAATAGTATCCCAATGACGTGAGTACATTTCGTTTTTTTTTTGAATGTAACCACTTGTCCTAATAAACTTATTGTCATGCATAAAAAATGCTAGACAAATAGCAAATAACTGAATTTGAATTTTGTAAACAAACTGTACCTGAGGATTGGAAGAAAGGATACTTATTCAGACTACCAAAGAAAGGAGACTTAAGTCAATGCAAGAACTGGCGCGGAATTATGCTCCTGTCCATCCCGAACAAAATACTAAGCTGCATCATCCTGGAGAGAATCAAACACGCTCTAGATGAAAAACTTCGACCGGAACAGATTGGATTCAAGAGAAACAAGTCATGCATCGGTCAAATTACAACTGTAAGGATCATCATTGAACAAAGCTGGGAGTGGCAGTCACCTCTCTGTCTCAACTTCATCGACTTTGAAAAAGCCTTCGACACCGTCGATCGAGAGGTGATTTGGCAACTACTCCGCTACTACGGGGTGCCAAGGACAATTATACATCTCATCCAACAGCTGTACGACAATGCTGCATGCCAAGTAATCCACAACGGGAAACTTACGGAATCCTTCGAAGTGAGGACAGGAGTAAGACAAGGCTGCCTATTATCGCCAATGATTTTCCTGATTTCAATAGACTGGATAATGCGACAAACAGTGGGCAATGGGGAAACAGGCATAAAATGGACTCACACAAAAGACTTGGAAGATCTGGACTTCGCCGATGATATATGTCTGATTTCCCACAAACTGGAAGATATGCAAGTGAAAAGCAACAAGTTGGCAGAAGAAGCATCAAAGATAGGACTTCAGGTGAACATAGAGAAAACGGAGGTGATGAAGATTCCTGGCCAACAGCAACAACAACAGACAACAATCAGCATAATTGGGAGGAACCTGAAAGAAACAACCTCCTTTACCTACCTGGGAAGCATCGTTTCAACTACAGGCGGAACTGACGAGGATATCAAAGCAAGAATCGGAAAAGCAAGACAAGCTTTCACTACTCTCAAGTCTGTGTGGAGGTCAACAGCACTCAGCATTAAAAATGAGATCCGGATTTTCAACTCCAATGTGAAGTCAGTGCAACTTACCATACGGATCAGAGACTTGCACTGCGCGTCATAAAGAGCACCTCAAACAAACTACAGACCTTCATAAACAGTTGTCTTCGCTCAATACTCTCAAGATCAGATGGCCAGCCAGAAAAGATCAGCAATAGAGATCTCTGGGAGCGAACCAACACAGCAGGAACCGATTGTGAAACAAATAGGCAGGAAGAAGTGGAGATGGATTGGCCATACTCTGAGGAAACCATCAAGTGACATCACTAGACAAGCCATTCCTCGAGTGGAACCCGAAAGGGAAGCGGCGAGTTGGTCGTCAGTGCAAGGGTGACTTTGAGGAGGTCATGTGAAGAGGAGATGAAAGCATGTGGGCAGACTTGGAGTCAGGTGAAAACTTTAGCAGAAAACCGAACGCAATGGAGACGTGTGCCTGAAGCCCTATGTTCCTCTAGGAATTAAAGGAAACAATAATAATAATAAACAAACTGTACAGCTGTGCATTTTTAAAAGTCTATTTTCATCTTTCATTCATGATCTAAGTAAGATAAGAAGATTAGGTGTATTAGGTTAGGGAGAATGGAATCGTCTTCGTAGTGGATATCAATATAATAACTGTTGAATACAAAACTATGCTATGAATAACAGACTTATATATTTTCAATGCTCGAAATACATAAAATTCCAGTGTTCGTTTGAGATTCGATTTATTTCATGTTATATCACTAATTGGTGTCAGTTACAGAACCTTTGAAAAACGGAGATTATTCGACAGATGTTTCGTGATTCATAGTTATGCATACGTCTGAGTGGCTGGATGGTGGTCGATAGCCTCACCTTCTAAACTGAAATTCTTCCACTCGATCTCCTATGAGACCATAGATGGGCACTACTGAGAAGAATCAGACCAGAGTGAAATAGCTGTCCAGTACTTTCTGATTCTCAATGGTTCCTTAACTGATATCAATGCACGATATAACCAAAAAATTTTTTATTGCTTTGATAAAGACTACATCGTTAATTGTATTTTATGTTAATTTCACCATTAAGTATTAATTTCCCCTGAGAATAGGTGAGCATGAAACCAGTTGTTTCTTATGTACCTGAAATAAATAATATGTTTATCAAAATAATGGAAAATCGAGTAAAAGTTAAAAAGTTGAGCTAACGGCATGTTGTTATTCCATTGAAACAAAAAGTATTGAAATTGAAGAGTATATTATTATTATTAATGGAAGTGAAGAACTTGGCCACTGTGTTAGAATGTAATTCACTACTAGATAAGTTTGTTTCAAATATCACACAGTGACTCAGTATTAATAACTGGATGACATTTCGAGAAGTAAGTATTCATTGCTCATAATCGTCCAGTTAGTCAGTCACACCGCTTCATCAGAGAGAGAAAAAAGCATATGTAAAGCAAATCGTGAGGCCGTGCTTATGACCGATAAGTTCTGCTCAAAACGTCATCCAGTTATTATTACTGAGTCATTGTGTATCATTTGAAATAAACGTATCTGTAAGATCAATTCTGTTCCCATCTTTGAATCAAGTCAACCTGTCCCAGATCAGCCTAGCGTTGTTGCAACCCGATTATCCATGCCTAACGTGTCTATCCCCTCTTGTTTAATGAACTGTGTGTGTGTTTTACATCGATCCGTTTAGTCAGACCGTTGAACTCATGACCCATTCAGAGTATTTTGTGAACTGTTATTTTTGCTGATCCATGTCTTACTTTGTACTATTCTGTGGAGTTTATCTTATTTATTGATCTTCATCTGTATCAGCCTACCTGGTTAAGTAGCCAATTAAATTCTAACTTTGTGCCTGTGCTCTGTCTATCTCTTAACCGCTCTCTGTTCTATGCCCTGCCTTACTTGGGTTCATTCTTCTACTGACTGCTTACCTGAACGGTCGTGTCTGATTCCGGCTAGTTCGCAATTTTGGCTTTAAAGTTATTCCACTCTGAAAGCGGTACCTTGCTTTCTGTTAAGCGTTATGCTTTGTACTCTTGAAACCGTTAAGGTTTGTTGTATATAATTATTGATTTGTTTATTAATAGTACCGTAGAAACAGTGACCGGCTTCTTGTTTGTTCTGGACCAGAATAGCCTTTATCTACGCGTGACTTAATTTCAAGCGATATTGCGCTTACAGTATCTAATATGGAATTATATTATTGTTATTCGTTTCTAGGGTTTTGAGTGGAACACAGGACTTCAGAGACGCATCTTTATTGTGGTTGGTTCTTCACCGTCACCTAAATAAGGCTCCACGACTGTGCACAAACTTTTATTCCCTTTCCACATGACCTTCTTCATGTCATGTTGCTTCCCTTTCAGAACACACTAGTGGGCCCACCTGGAGTGTGATTTCAGTCGAAAGTTTTCTCAGTGTTTGACGCTATATATACATATGTATATTGATATATACATTACACAATGGATTATATGAGTAATTGGACGCCACCCACTCAACCAGTAGTGCTCTCAAGCTACATAGAAATGATCTAAACATCAGACAGTAGTTTTGCTCATTTGAGTCATGAGGTGTGTAGCCGTTTTGATTCAACCCTGAGAGCCCAAGTAATTCAAGCCACTACTGGTTTATGTAAGTGGAATTCAACTATGCGCTATCTCCGTCTCCTGTATCGGTTTTCCATAAGATTTTATGAAATCTAACCTTAAAAACTTGAAATCTTGTAGGCTACAGTTAACGGGAGAACAAAACAAGTGCGACCTGATTCAAAGGGATAAATCTGAATCTTTCCACTGAGAGGTTAATGCATTATAAGCTGTTTTATTTATTAGTAAATAATAATAACATATACATTTCTTAATCATTAAACTCACCTAGCCATGCAAAATAGAAACCAATCTTTTCACCATAATAACTTCTTATATGATCCAAAGGTTGATATCTATACCAACAACCCCATCTTGCCCAATACCAATATAAAATTTGACGTGGATTCATTTTCTCAGGATGCTTTAAATCTTCTTCATCAACTTCATATGGACCCTAATATTTGTACAAATAATTTTTATTGTTCAAAATATTATTACATAAGTTAAATTATTGCAGAAAAATGAAGAATCACCAATAAAATAAATGAATAAATAATAGATGGAACTTTTGAAATGAAGTTATTTTACATTTCTCATTCATCACAGTCATATACTAAAGACAGTAGTATGTCTTTAGGATTATCAAGATTAACACGAAGAATAACGCTATTGATTCTAAATCACTTTTAGTTACTGTGCCTAATTTATAACATTATGATATAGAATATTAGTTGTGTTGCCTAATAAAACACCATGCAGTGGTATTCTCCATCAACATAGTTAAGTTTAGTAAAAGTCTTTTAAAAAAGGTGTTTCGACAGTTTTCTGCTGTTTTTTTTTTAGATTTTGTCTGCTTCACAAATGCTTTTTCATGAAAAAGAATAGTGAAGGGTGTTTACTAAGTGAATTGACCTTTTTGTATAACCGATTTAAATTCTCCTTGAAAAGTGATGATGATTTGTATTGAATGAGTAACACACCTGCAGAAGAAATAAGGATTATAAGGTTAAAATAAACAAAATAATCAAAAGAGCGACTCGGTGGTTCAGCGGAAGAACGCTTTCTAACCACTCATGTGATCCGGAGTTCGATCTACGACCGGCACACTCCTAAACACTGCTGGGCCGGTAGTAAGTCCGGTAAAGAGGAATGGTTGGTTGTGCGGCTAACACACTGATATTGAAATCTCACTGTCTAGAATCAAGCCCTTTGTTTCATTCAGAACGTAAAGGAATAAAAAAGAGTCGTAGAACGGAATGAAAACAAAGGATAAGTACTTAGTATACAAAATATGTTAATATTTCCAGTATGAAAGGGTCATAATGTAGGTTTCAACTTATTAATAATGGCCATAACAGTTTGTTACAGAAAACGCTTTAAATGTGTGTCCAATAATTGTTTTTCTACAGTGTCTTTAGTGATTGATCTGTGAATCCTGAACAATAAATTTGTACAATTTTTGCCTAGTGTTAAAAATGGAAACATTGTACCTAACTTTTATTTTATCGGCTTCTTTGTAAAATAAACTTAACTTTCGTTACAGGATTTCATCATGAGCTGACATTAGTTAGAGAACCATTGGAGAACCTGGGAGTACTGGACAGCTGTTTCGCCCTAGTTTTGGACTCTTCAGCAGTACGCACACACCGGGGTTCAAACCCAGGACCTTCTGGTTACAAGGCGAGCTCGTATTCCATTAAGCCACTGAGACCCGATCCAGTGGCCCATGAATTCTAACTTCTGCCAATTCACGACATAGCGCGACCCCTAGCCAATGTCTTCGGCGAGTATTTGTCCTCACGCCCAACCTGCTGCACCCTACTGGTCACGACTTCTCACTAGAACGCCAGGTGACTACCCACCTGAATAGGGCAAGTCGCTAGTGAGCATCTCATTGATTTTCAAGTGTTGGTTTGTAGGGATTTGATTTTGTTACAGGATTTCATCATGAGCTGACATTAGTTAGAGAACCATTGGAATCCCGGTGGGTGCGTATTGCTGAAGAGTCCCAAACTAGGACGAAACAGCTGTCCAGTACTCCCAGGTTTTCCAATGGTTCTCTAACTAATGTCAGCTCATGATGAAATCCTGTAACAAAATCAAATCCCTGCAAACCAACACTTGAAAACTTAACTTCCGTGTTCGAGTAAAAATATAGTCGTGCTATCTGTTCCTTCGTCTTCTCACTGGTTTCTGCTGTCTACTTCCTCTGCTAATCCCCGTGTTGTATTCTTTTGAACTTACAGGAACATCTCATCCTTATCCAAGGACTCTTCAAAAACCGGTGAACAATTTCTTTCAGTGCCACGAACCATATTTAAGGATTATATTATTAATTTGTAGAAGTGGACAATAGCTGTATTTTCAAGTAACCATTAACTTGTATAACTCATTTATCTGTACATGTACAATATTTTTTCTTATTCCCTTCACGTTCCCCAGTGCAACACAGGGCTTCAAGCTGGTGGCTTGAATATTCTGTAGCAGTGTTTACTTTACAGGATGGGGTTGCTAGCCTCATCCCCAACCTTTCCTCTTCACCAGCATTATTCCTGGCTTAGCGAGGTAAAGAAGTGCGTCAGCCGGAGATCGAACCCCGGACCATGTGTATGGTCGGCGAGCGTCCTAACCACTATGCCACCGACGCACATGTACAATATACTGTCTCATTATTATTTATTGACTTGGATTTTTATTCTGATATTTCGTACACTTGTCAACGTTGCTGTTTAGTCCCCAACAAATGTATTGCTCTGAGCTTTCTCAGGCATTGACTACCTGATTGGTATCTTTTGACAATATATGTAATATTTTCTTTACTAAGAAAGTCTTCTATTTCATTATTATATGGCGTGATACTGTTTTATGAAAACAACACTATGTACTATCAATCTAAGTACTACTTAGTAAGACATGATTTGAGAAAGGATGGTATGCGTCAACGTCAATAAATTGTGACTGCTGTCAAGTAGTTGCAGACAGCTGTCAGAAAGCACTTTACCTTAATCACATACTTATAGGTACTCATTAACAAGGAGACATTGTCACTGATACATTGACAACACAATTTCATTGTGTTCAACAAGTGTCTTTATTGCATATTCGTGCTAATCGTCGCGTCGTAGTCCGTTGCTATGGTGACGTGAATGACAAGTTATATTTATTTGTATGCTTTTTAAATAAAATTTCACATTAAAACAGTTTCTCTTGTGTACACATTATCGGTAGCATTATATTCTTGAAATGCGTTATATTTTCTGCCCTTTTATCAGAAAATATTGACTGACATTGATATCTGCTCAATGCAATCGATTAAAGGAGGTAGTAAGTTCAGAAGCTAAACGTATATTATTGAATTTTCATGAAACCAAGCCGGGATATTTTGGCCTATTTATTGAAACGCTTTAATATCCACAGAATAAAGGTGCCACTAATTCAAAAAAGGGATATTTCATATAATCGCCCGTGTTTAACATTCTGTCTATTCATAAGAAATTATTAAACTAAATCTTAAATTTAATGAAATATTAACCGTCTGTACATACTGTGCTACAAATCTCAACTTAGGAATATAATATGTCAATTTAGAAAATGACTTTACTTGTAGTAGTAATTATGGTTGTTAAAACTGTTTTCTTCTATACCCGTATGTACACAAATATAAGAGTGTATTGATTAATATTTTTGAATGATATGTTGGTTATGGACATTTGTATAATCCATTTGAATATACAAGACTATGCATGGAGTAGAAGTCAGAGAGTAATTTCGACATATTTAAATTATCAGCATCTTGAGATCCAATCACTTTACTTTATTACTAGATACGAAAAGAATAAAAGGGTTTCAAATCACTCAGTTTGTAAAAAGCTTAATGTGAACCAGCTCAAAAAGATCCACTGATCTGTAGTAGTGACTTATTATCTAATTGAAAAGTTGATCTATTCAGGGATCTGTCCTAATCATACATAGACACTCACGTGCCGTTACAAACGACTATCATAATATCAAATACTTTGATAAGAAAAAAATGTACAGAAATAATTATTTTAAGAAATTTCGTTATGAAAAATGACTTTCAGACAAAAATCTGTCAAACACATATATTTTTCATGCAACTAATTCTCTTTATTAGTCTGAATAAAGAAAGAAAAACGATATTTTCAGGTTAATATGGGCTAGTTTTATTTCGTGGATTCTTTTCCACTGCACACTCCCTAAACAATACCAAAATATAAGTTACAAAATTTCTCAACATACTTTTCTTACAGTGACAACGAGTTGTAAATAGAAAGTGTGAGCAATATAATTCCAAAATAAATGATGTAAGTAGAAAAATTACTCAGTGTTAAAAAAGACGAACTATCTATAATGTGACTAGACAAGAGGGTGGTGGGGGTCGGGTTTAGAGTCCAGATTTTGCTTGGAATCAAGCATTTATTAGAGATAAAATACAAGATCGAGCAAAAGGTGTGTATTTATGCACATTTTAATGGAGAGTTCAAGATTGCGGGAGTGAATGATAAAGTGAAGTTATGACATAGCCAAAAAAATAAGTAAATTTGGAAACATAATAGTGATTTCAACTCAATAAGTGAAAATCAGAATCAAATTAAATGGGACGTTATGCAACAGAACAAAACACAAAAGCACACACTTTTGTTCTTGCTTTATTCAAATTCATAAAAGGGTATAAATGCATGAAAACAATCACAGTTACTAGGGTATTGGGAGACTAGTCAAGTTAAGTTTCTGTATACAGAGTTAATTATTATATTATTATTGTTCCCTTGGGTTCCTAGTCAAATATAGGGCTTCAACTGCACGTCTCCGCTTGCTTCTGTCTTCTGCTGTACTTTTCACCTGCATCCATGTTAATCCATACTGTTTCAGTTCCTCTTCACACGATCTCCTCCATGTCACCCTTGCACCGACGAACCACTCGCCGCTTCCCTTTCGGCTTCCACTCGAGCTATAGCCTGACGCGCAATGTCAACCAGCGGCCTCCTCAGCGAGTGTCCAATCCATCTCCACTTTCTCCTGCATATTTGTTGGGTGATTGGTTCTTGTTTTGTTTGTTCCTATAGTTTCTTGTTGGTGATTCTTTCCGGCTATCTGATCTTCAGTATAGAATGAAGACAGCTGTTGATGAAGGTCTGCAACAGGCTGTTGGAAATATTCTTTGTGACCCGCCAAGTTTCTGATTCGTATAGAAGAACTGACTGACTTGACGTTTGTATTGAAAATCCGAATTTTGTTGTTAATGCTGAGTTGAGTGAGGAAGATTTCCAGATTGGTTTCAGGTTGATGAATGTGTTTCTCGCCTTTTCGATTCTCGATTTGACATCCTCGTCCGTCCCTCCTGTAGTTGAGACAATGCTCCCTAGATAAGTGAATGAAGTAACCTCTTTCACATCCCTCCCGTTGATAGTGATTGGCGCTGGATCTTGCTGC